CCTTGGTGTATGTTTCCAACCAGGAGTCTAGCAAAAGAGAAAAGGTTAGTGATCATTTACAATATGACCAGTCGCAAAGGACAAAGAAGAAGACGAAGGAAAGATGGACTTACAGGTGGCGTCCTTGTTGCCGTCCTGGTACTTCTCATGCAACATCATCTCATCCACCTTCTTGGTCATCGCCTTGACGTGGTTGAAGATCAAATCGTCCAAATCACTGTACGTGTAGCGTCCGCCCACCTTCAGTGTCCGTCCCACGGAGAATTCGTTCTCCTTGTCCAGCTCCAGCACATCGATATGCTGGAAGATGCCGTCAGACACCTTCCACGTTACCGCCAGATGGTCCGGTCCCTTGGACGATGGCCGAATCACCACATCTCCCCGGCTCTGCGACCCCAAGAATTCCTCTGCCTGCGTCGAGTTGAACGGCCGGAACAGCGGGTGCTTGATCACCCGCATCGTCCGTCCGCCGCTCTGGGTCTTCTCCTGCTGCGCTTCCCGGTCCTGCGCCTCCTGCCGGTCGTCCCACTCCCCTTGCAGTCGGTCCGGCGTCCGTAGAACCGGCCGGCTGACCTGCTCCTCCCGCAGCGAGACATTGCACAGGAAGTTCTTGCGGTTCAGGAAGAGCACCTTGGCCGGCAGCGTCTGGTGGATTTGATACAGCGCCCGCACGGGGATATCATACCGGTCGGTCAGCTCCGACTCGGGCACCAGTGCGTCGATTCCACAGTCCAGCTTGCCGTCAATGTGATCGTCCGTGATCCGCTTGATGGAGATGGGCACCACCATTCCCTCCGACAACGTCTCTGCCGTCTCACCAGTGAGCATGGTGAAAATGTCATCCGTGCTGAGGAAGACGAATTGCTTCCGTAGTTCCTCGTACGGCTGTTGCAGCTCCGCCCGGATCGTCTCCAATGTCGCTCGCTTGCGCTGGTTCAAGTTCTTCTCCAGTTGCTCGGCGTACTCCTCCAGAATCAAGTCGTTCACCCGATCTTGTGCCTCCTCGCGGAACAATTTGCGCACAATTGCCCCCGGTCCATTCTCGTCCGTCTCCGCCTTGATATCCTCTTCATCGAGTTCCAGCGCATCGGCGGCCATCTTGCGCGCAATATCGTAGTCTTCGGGGTGCACACGCGTGTTGTCCAGCGGGTCTGCGTCCGGATCGGCGTTCTCAAAGTCGATGTACAAGAAGCTGGCGCAGTTGTTCCACACCTTCACACCCATGGCCGGATACTGGGCGTTCACACCCAGCAGCTCCGCCCGGTTGTTGACCACGCCGCCGTTCATGTTCACAATCTTGAGCAGGTGTGCCGCCTTTCGGGGTCCCAGACCACAGACGTAAGGCAGGAGATTGGCTGTCGCCGAATCCGTGACGGCTTCATTGATGTCCACACCCACCAGGTTCACCATGTCCACCAGCGCGGTCTCCAGCTGCTTCAGCAACAGATCCTGAGAGACAAGCTGCTGGCCCGGCTTGAATTGGATGGACACGATGTCCCGGCCCAGGGACGCGTATTCCTTCAGCGGACTCTGCAGGTACTTGGCCAAGGCCACACAGTAATGCGTCAAGGGGGCGAAGCTAGGGTGGTCCTTCTTCGCACGCTCGCTGTGCTGGTAGAGTCGGGCAACCTCGTCATTGACAATCACCACCTCCAAACGGTCGCTGACCTCGTCATCGCGGTCATCGGTGTAAAGAGCGCCGCGGAGGTCTTGCCGCTCCACGACCTCGGTCAGCAGCTTATACAGGCGACGGGTCTCCGGAGACATGCCGGACACACCGATGACGTCGGGACGCCGACGCTTCACAAGCTCGGTGAAGGCTGCAACATCTTTGCCGTCGGCAATGTTACGGTCGCGATCGCCAATAGAAAGATCCGTAAATTTTCCGTTCTCCAGCACACGTCCGTCCTCTTCGATGTAGGCCCAGTGAATGGGCTCGCGTCCGACTATGCCGGTACCAGTGGACAGAGCCAGCACGCGCGGCACGGTACCCAGGATCATACCCTTGGGCTTGTAGGGGGCTTGGTCCAGTCGCTGCGAGAACGCCTCGCGACACTCCTTCGCCACATGGTTCTCACATTCCTGACGGATATTCTCCTTAACGCTGCGATTGATCAACCGCTCGAGCTTGCCGAGGGCCAGATCGAGCACATCGCGACGCGTGCGGTTCCAGACGTCTGCCAATTCACTGTAGTTGTCCGACTCGATGTCCTGGTAAAGCCGTTGCCGGAAGTGGTCAAAGTTCTCAAAGCGGACCTTCACTTCCACCAGTCCTTCCTCTTCGGCCATGAGCATGCGCAGGTACAGCTCGGGCCGACGGGCAATATCGCTAAGTTGCTGGTTCCGTAGGTACTTGAATTCGTAGTACGGGTGCTGCTCGTCAATGCGACGCAGACCTTTTTCGGTGCGGAAGCAGTCCACTGCGCCATTCATGTAGTACGCTTGACGGACGACCTTGCGCATCTTAGGACTCATCACAATCTCTTCCGCGAACATGGTCTTCGCGGCCTTGACCACATGCGACGAGTTGGAGAAATCGTTGTCGATGAACGAATCCGCCAACTCATCGGGCTGCTCCGCGGGATCTTCAGTGTACTGGCGGCGGCCTTCCTTCAGGGCATTCTGTGCAAACGCATCGGCAGTGATACCAAAGGCGCGGACGAGACCGTAGGCCTTGCCATTCCGGACGCGCTCAAAGAACGTCTTGCTGGACGCTTTCCGGCGCTGGGTTTCCCCATTCGCTTCCCCATTCATGAGCGTCATATCCCTCAGCTGGGACGCATACTGGAAATGAATGTAGTCCTGAATATCCTGCAGCTCCTCCATCGTCACCGCGGTCGGGAGCATCTCCTCCACAATGGTATCATTCACGCTGAAGAGACTCTGTAAGTTATCAAAGGTCTTCTGGATCGTGTTGCGTTTTTCCACGAGCGCCTTGAATTTGAGATCGTGGTCGAAGATGTCCCAGAGATCGGTCATGTTCAGAAGCTTTTCCGCCTTGATGGTGTATTGGGAGGCGTCTGCATCGTGGCCCGCTCCATCCACAGCCACCTTGGCCGCGTGAATCATGTAGTCCTTCCGGTGCTGGAAGATGAATGGCACTTCCCAATCGTCGGTGACCAGGAACTCCAGCACCTTGGCCACTGAGCGCTGGAAGGGCTCCCGTAGTTCGGGCTCGATCCGCTTCTTGAGGAGCATCAGGTTGGAGATCCAGGCTGCCTCTTCCCGGAATTGATCTTCAGTCAGAACCACGTTCCGGTAGGGCTTACGGGCGATTTGATGTCGTTCGGGCTCGTCCAGCAGACGGATCTGGTTATCCTCCTCCGTCAACATCTTCTCAGCCAGCTGTGATGGCTCGAAGACATCCTTCAAGTCCAAGTGCTTTTCCTCATCCACTTCCTGCTCCTGTTCTTGTTCCTCCATTTCGAGGGCAAACAGATACTCATTGCCGTCTCCGAACGCGGCGCGCATGTCTTCGAGGGCGTTCTCGTCCAAGCCGGTCGCATCGGTGACGCCTAAACCTCCCTTGGAGGTACGAGTAACTTCCAAGTCTTCCCGTTCTCGCTGAATTTCCTCATCGGAGAAAACATCCTCTTCAATGAAGTCGTCCATCTCATCGTGCATGTGTCTCCGGTGACCGGACCTCCCGTAGTCGGCAGCGGGCTCTTCATCTTCATCGGAGTTGAAAATATCGTCAATGCCCTGGGACGCTTGTCGGAGATCGCGATCCTTGTGACCACGCTTAAGACGCTTGAACTTGGGCTGGGATAGTAGTCAGTATCGCCCTGTGCAAAGGTAGGGAGCCAGTGGGGGCAATGGATGAGGTGAACATACTTCTCCAGCAGACGCCGACTGGAAGCTCGGGTTGAGTTCGCCAATGAGCTCCAGATCTTCCTCGTCCAGATGTTCATCCTCGCGTTCGCGATCCCTCTGCTTTCGCTTCTCCCGTCGGCGCTCGGCGCGCTCCTCTATTTCCTCGTCCTCGTCGACAATGAAACCTTCGCGGACCTGGACGTGGGTCAGTTACTGGGTGCATTGGATATATAAAAACTGGCGCATGATTGATGACAAGGGGGAACATACGGCGCGAGCAGCTTCCTCATCGTCGTCATCATCCTCATCTTCTTCACTGGAATCGTAGTTGTTGTTGGTGCCAGCACCCTCTCGGACTTCGCCATCGTAGTCATCGGCAAGCTCCTCCTCGTTCTCGTCGTCATCAATCATGGCCTCCCCCTCGACCAGATCGCGAGCGCTCATCTTCGGCTCTTAATGTGTTGGTGGACTAACGGTTCGGAGAATAAGAAAAAGGGTGGATGAGGATGCAATCTGCGGAGACCGGTTTGGGGGAGAAGAGTCGTTAAGGGAAACGAATCACGACAAGAATAACCGCCACAAGAGACGGTCACACACAGAAGGTGGCCAAGCCAGAGGTTGGAAAGAAATGAAGAAAGGATGAGAGAGGATCTGGGGCGGCTTTGGATGGACGAGACGAGATCCGATGGCTTGCAAGCAAAGAGACGCTGTGGCGCGGGCACTGCTTCACCGCCCGCTGGAGCTGTGGCTGGAGAAGAGCTCTCACGTGGGGACACTAGCCTGTTAGGGTCTAGTCCTTACGGGATGGGAGAAGTTCCACTGGTGCAAATTGATACCGGTCATGTGATGTGCTGGACCCCTCGCTGAAACGCTTTTCTCTGTTCATTCTACAAAACAAACCATGAATGTCTAATTATTGAGGCCAGGAAAGACAATTATCAACCGGGAGTGTGGCTGTAATGGAATGATTCCTTTCTCACTCTTGTACTGTATTAAGGGGGTGAATACTGGATGGAGTACAATAGTCGAGCCATGACTTGCCAGACAAAGAGTGAATGATAGACGGCGCCAACTCCCATCGCTTGTTTCAGCGGTTGTCCCTAGACAGACCCGGTCGCTCTATCTTTGTTTCGGATTTCTCCCTGAATAGAAGAACTTTAAAGAAAAGAAAACATTTTTCTGGATCCCAAGTTGTAGACCTCGTGGCAGACAGAAGAGAGAGAGAGAGAGAGAGAGAGAGGATCTCCTGTCGAACTACTTCGTGCCTGGTTCCACTACTTGATCTCCGCCCCAACTTTCTCCTCCTCACGGCGTTCCTCCAAAAGCACGCCAAAACCAACTCCGGCCCTCCCCTCCATCATCATCCTTTCCCACTGGTTCAAGTCGCCAGTTTGAGGAACATTCACTCACTCTCTCATCCCCATCCCCTGGTGAACCCTCCAACAGATTTCAGCGGCCAAACGCCACCAAACCGGGGTGATTCAGTCCACCACCAAAGAACACCCCCCACCTGCGCTCTCTCCCGAACCTCACGGCGCTTGTCCGGTGTCTCAGTGTCCAATAACTCCCCCGCCGCTGCTGGCCCAACGGTCGGACACTCGACGACTTTTTTATTCTGTTTCGCTGACTAGCAAACCCATTCACTGGGCATCCTCACCATAATTTCACTCGCGAGACAGTTACTTTTTACCTGGAACTGCTTCGTCTCCTATACAGTCGCTGTATTCCTCCTTCACCCCCCACCGTCTCTTCCTCTATCTCAAGTCACGGTGCGCAACATCGCTCCTGTGATACAACCATGGCCGATCAATTCAAGGCGCGAACGCTGAAGCGCAAGAACGTCAAAGGCCTTGCCCTGAACGCAGCTCCGAAGCCCGCCTCCAATAATTCCGATGGCGATGCTCAGGTTCCAGGCGCCATTGGGAACACCGACAGCAACCGCACCGATACTCTGGAGATCGGCCTCGAGTTTCGTCTTGACCTGCGTAGCGAGGATCTGGTTACCCTGAAGGAGCTGGGCGCTGGAAATGGTGGTACGGTCTCAAAGGTCATGCACGCCTCCACGAAGGTGGTCATGGCTCGAAAGGTGCGTGCCTTCTGGAGACCCTCGTCGTCCGTGCTTTGCCGTAGACCCGGCAGGTATGCTGACCCCGTCATCCTAGATAATCCGCGTCGACGCAAAGGAGAATGTGAGAAAGCAGATCTTGCGGGAACTCCAGGTTGGACACGACTGCAATTCCCCCCACATTGTCACCTTCTATGGTGCCTTCCAGAATGAAGCCAGAGATATTGTCTTGTGTATGGAGTACATGGATTGCGGGTAAGGGAGCCGCTGCCTTTCCTTTTCTCCTGTTGGTTCCAAGCTAACCTGGACCCTCGCATGATAGCTCGCTCGATCGCATATCCAAGGACTTTGGTCCCGTGCGGGTAGACGTGCTGGGCAAAATCACCGAGTCGGTCCTGGCCGGTCTGGTGTACCTGTACGAAGCTCATCGTATCATGCATCGCGATATCAAGCCATCCAACATCCTCGTCAACTCGCGCGGCAACATCAAGCTCTGCGACTTTGGCGTTGCGACTGAGACAGTCAACTCGATCGCTGATACGTTCGTCGGCACCTCCACCTACATGGCCCCCGAGCGTATCCAGGGTGGAGCGTACACTGTGCGCTCGGATGTGTGGAGTGTCGGGTTGACGGTGATGGAATTGGCGGTTGGTCGCTTCCCCTTTGACACGTCCGACTCCTCAGCAGGCGACCGTGCCAGCGCCGGTCCGATGGGTATTCTGGATCTGCTGCAGCAGATTGTGCACGAGCCTGCTCCGAAGTTGCCCAAGAGCGACGCCTTCCCTCCCATCCTGCACGAGTTTGTCGCCAAATGTCTCCTCAAGAAGTCCGAGGAACGCCCCACGCCTCGCGAGCTTTATGTATGTCTCACCCTTTGTCCGCTTTTGGACTACGGTCTTGAGCCGGATTCGACTAACAGCCAATTTAGGACAAGGATGCGTTCCTGCAGGCCGCCAAGCGGACGCCGGTTGATCTCCAAGAATGGGCCATCAGCATGATGGAGCGACACAACCGCAAGTCGTATCTGGCTCCCCCGCCGCCCAAGTCGCTCAAGGACGAGCCCCCAGCTGCGCGATCGACTCCGTCCCCGAAGCCTCAACCCCAGCAGCAGCCCAGCAGCAAGCCGATGCGCACTCCCCAGTACGCCCCCAGCGACATTCCCTCTAGCGTGGGCCGCAACAGCCCATCGCAGTACCAGTACAACTACGCCCCCGCCAACCCATCCCCGCGTCCACCCCGGTCAACACGCTCGCCTCCCATCTCTCTCGAGCATCTGTCGTTGGAAGATGAGTACCGCTCCGGCCGTCGTCCCTCACGGACTCCCGTCGGGGGCCCCTCTTCCGGATTGGAACCCCCCATGAACCCGATGGGATCTCGTTCCGCCAGCTCACACAACACGAAGTCGCGAATGCCTCTACAGTCAGCAGCGCTGCCCGTGCGAAACGCGCCTCCCCCGAGCGGGCCTTCGCCCTCTGCTCCTGGAAATGGATCCTGGCAGCGCCAGCCAAACTCCATGCGCGGGGACCATATGACGGGTGCCGTCTAGACTTCCGGCCCTCTTTCCATCTCTTCAACCCTCCTACCTCCCTTCACTTCTCTTCCGCGTCCTCCTATTCTCCTCTTCTTCTAGAGTCCGTGGATGTGACGAGCTGACAAACAAATGACACATACCCACAAACACACCGCTACTTGCTTGAAGCATTAACCCTTGAACCATGTATCTCATCCAACCTACATGATGTATGTCCATGACAAACACACACAGAACAACATTTTTTGCATCGGCAAGGCGTATTCATTCATTGGCCTTTTCTTTCTTTTCTTTCTTCATCTTCTTCTATTTTCTTTTTTTTCATCTCATTTGTCATATTCTTTCCTGTCAGATATACATACATCCATAGCTTCGATTTTCTTTCATGTCCTTTTCTTTTTTTTACTTCATTTTCTTTTCTGCATATTTTAGGTCATCTTCTCATCTAGCTGACTGTAAGTATCTTTTGTTTATGCCATTTCACTCCATTGTTTACTGGCTATGGTTCATTGCTCGGTAGCATGGAAGATGGGGATGAATGACAAGTTGGGTAAAGTAAGCGTGATGTTCGGCCGTGATAGATTTTGATTGCTGTAATTTATAGCGAGTAACGGGACGAAACGAAGACTGTTAATGTTGTCAGGTGATAAACAGGTCATAGCATAGACTAGATTGAGTTCTATGGTTGACATCTATTAACAGCCCTTGCATGCTATAGACCGACTACACTCTACACCACTGGAATGGGAAAAATGGCCATGCCTGTCAATGTTTTGCTTCGTTTTCAATGCTAGACAGTAGAGTAGTAGGGAGGAAATGATCATGGCAACACTGGCTTTCTTTCCATGTGAAAGTCAACAGGTAAAACATAGAGCAAGCACAAAGGCACACAGATACAAGAGAAAAGCATAAACACCGCACCGAATCATGCAGGTAGGAAACGAGGAAATCCCATCACACCATACGAGAGACGTAGAGAATAGCGCCGAATGGCATATAAGTAGCCAACGAAGATAGACGGTCAGAAACCGCACATCCGACAACAAACACAACCCAACATCAGACTGGATGGTCCCTTCTACTCATGCCCGTTCATCATTCCCCCTGTAACCCGGAATCCGACGACGCCAACAGAAAAAAATAAAAGTAGATACCAAAAGCACGCACATACTGAGCAGTCCGTCAAAGAACAGGAACCGGCATCCCTGAATCCCAGCATAGGACACTCATGACGAGACTGAGGAGAGAAAAGAAGATGATAGGCAACCAGCCCTACTTCATCGCAAGCTCTGATCCACTCACTGGACTCGGGCCCGGAGGAGCAGGGGCAATATTTGGACGCGGCGCCAACTCGACCATGGGGTGCTTGCCTCCTCGACTGCTGGTCGAACCGCCACGACCGGCAGCACCTCCACCGCGTCCGTGCGGGGTCCCCGATGCGGCGTTGGCTTTCTCCTGCTCTGCCTGCTGACGAGCAGCTTTGCTGATGCGCGGGCGACGAGTAGTACTGCCTCCTCGTGAGCCGGGGCCCCGAAGGGGAAGACCGGTTTCCTGGGAGATTGGAACCGCAGCGGCCAAAGGCACCTGGTGGGATGTCAGAGGCGCCCGGCCCCGACTCCCACGTCCACGGCCGCGACCACGCTTGATCGTACCGTCGGCCCTATTTATAAACCATTAGCATCTCAGTCAACACAAAAAGCAAGGGATTCAATGTCCCCTAGGGTATGGCGCTTACCGTTCCACTTGGACCTTTTCACCCTCCGGCACCAGCGGCCCACTGTAAACAAAGAACCCGTCCTTACTGGCGGCCGCCTGTTCCTGCCAGGCTAACTCACTGTCATCCACGAACGGGTCGTCTCGATCATACTCCTCCATTTTCTTCTTACGACGCTTCTTCTTCCCATCTGCCGGGTCGGGCCCATTCGAGCGGGCTGGTGCGGAAGTCGCACCTTCCCCATCCATCTCGCTGTCCCGGTCGACCTCCATGCTCAAATCCTCATCTGCACTCTCTCCCGCAGACAGACCACGTCCGCTCGCCTTGTCGTTGCGCTCCAAGGCTGCTCCAGCCGCAGCTACCCGTGCCAGCCGTTCCTTGTGCGCAGCGAGGCGAGGATGCAGGGCCGCAAACCCATATTGCTCCTCCGCTAAACGGGCGAAGTTGATGATCTGATTCCCGTGACCCTGAATAGGGACGTGCAGGATGATACTCGGCACCTGGCGGTTACTCGAGTCGCCCGTGGAGGAGCCACCATCCACTCCAAAGAGGGCATTGGAGATCAATCCCGAGCCTTGAGGTAGCGAAGGCGTTTCCTTGGCGGCCCGGGCCGGTTTGGGTGACGGCGCCTTCGAAGTAGGTACTGTTGAGGGGGTTTTGGCTTCCTTCTTGGTCACCTTAGGGGCCGTCGACGCAGCAGGTGCCTCGGGCTCCACATCCATGGGCGTGGGACCAGGCGAGGGCGGTCTGTTATTAGAAGGTGCTGGGGTATGAGGTTCCGAGGCCGAAGGAGGAGGGACAGACGGGGGCTGTGGTTCTGGTGCAGATGTCCGTGATTCCTGAGGCGGCGGCGGCGGTGGTGCTTGGACCGGTGTGGCATAGGGGGATCGATGAGCATATGGTGAGACCGGTCGTGGGGGTTGAGATTGAGGCTGTGGTTGTGGTTGCGGTTGTGGCGGAGTGGGAGCGATGGATGCGCCTGCGGGCGATGGAGAGTAGCTCGACGCACCGTGAATCGGAGAGCCATACGGTCGAGGGACATAGACGGGCGGCGACGAGGCAGCAGGCGGATCAATGATACTAGCAATGGCCGGAGAGGCACTGGCGCGATATGTCGGACGGGGTGAGATAGGGCGGGCCGGGGGACTAAAGGAGGGGCGCCCCGGAGGTGGCGCTGCAGCCAACGTCGGGGTCGGTGCTGGGGCCGGAGACGATGTATCGAAGGCCGACCGAATGGGATCGAAATTTTGACCGCTGGTTCTTTGCGGCGGAGGAGCGGGCGGCTGGGAGTGTGGCCGCGGAGGAGGAGCGGAGGGCATCAGGCCCGGATAAGGTGAGACGAGAGTTGTAGGGGCCACGGATGGCGGTGTTGGATGGGCCGAGGGTGGCAAAGACGGAGGGTTCAGGAGACGCGATGTCCCATGAGACATCACTTCAGAATCTAGTGTTTGTTTCCGCGGGCTCGTTATGGGAGTGCTTGGGGCAGGCGTCGAGGCCGGGGCTATAGCTGGAGCTGGAGCTGGAGCTGGAGCCGGGGCTGAGGCCGGAGCTGCAGATGCAGCTGAGACTGCAGTGGTAGGAGGACTGGTCGCAGGCCCTTCTGGAGCGGCAGCAGGCGCGGGATTCGGTGAACGGGCAGGAGGCGCCGCGACACTGGGACTTTGGTCGGGGGTGGCAGCCTCCAACTTGGGCCTCTTGCGAGAGTGAGACGCGGCCGAATTGGGCGGGTTAGTAGATGTCGACGAGGACTTCTCTCGTTGGCGACGGCTGCCCCGTTTGGGCTCCAGCTTCTCCTCCTTCTCCTTCTCTTTTTCCTTTTCCTTCAATTCTTTCTCCTTCTCCTTTTCTTTTTCTCTGGTTTTAGGCGTTCGGACGGGTTCTTTCCGCTCGAGGTCGAGATCGTCTTCCTTCCTGCGACGCGACCGTCGGGTACGAGTTTCGCGGGCGGGATATTCGATGGCGGAACGCGACTCGTGTTCACCTGCAGTCGACAAAACAGATGGCTCTGTGGACATGGTGAAGAGGAGAAGAGGAGAGGAAGGGAGGGGAGGGCGCGAAGGGACGAATCACAGCTGGTGGTCAAGCATCGAGTGAAAGGGCGAGGTTGGTCAGAGGGGGGAGTGGAGTGATGGACTGACGTCCTTGGGTGGTGAGAGTGGTGGTGGTGGTGGTGGTGGTGGTGGTGGTTGGTGAGGAAGGAGATCTAATCCTTGTACTCAGAACAATAAAATTAGATAACAAAAGAATTGAAAGTCGAATGGATGGAGATGAAGAAAGGTTGAAGGAAGGTGGTGGAGATGGAAAGTAGATGATGGATGGGGGGAGTAGAAAAGTAGATGACGATGAATGGATGGGGGGAGGAAAGGAAAAGGAAGAAAGAGGGAAGGGAGAGAGAGAGAAGCGAGAGAGTGAGAGTGAGAGGAACAGAGAGAGAAGGGGAAGGCCGAGAGGGAGGCAGGCCAGATGGGAAACACCGGGCCAGCAACTGCAAAAGAAGAACAAAACTGCAGTCTAAGAAGATGGGGGAAAAGGGGCGCTGTCGGGGGGGTTCAGCAGCAAGTATACCCTTGCTAGATATACATACAGAAGAGTGTTATAGATGATAAAGAAAGAAGATGCTTTTCCAGAGCCGGTCCGACGTGGGCGAAAGCAGTAACCGGGGAAAGCGTGTTTGTATGGCCGGGGTTCCATTCCGGCGGGTGCGCTTCTCGTTCCTTTCTTGGGCCGTTTCAATGGTTCGTTATCGCGTTTAGTTCCTTCAGTTGCCTGCTTTCCTGGCCCCTCGATACGCCCCCACCCCGCGTGAATGACGGTCCAAAACATTGCTCATCGTCAGTAAAATGACATGAGATCATTTATATCTCAGAATTTGGACCTGACAAGGCTCTGTACCTGCAGGATGGTGGACAACAATCAGGGCAGCGCAAAGTCCCAGTTTCGATATCAGATCGGGTCACCTGATTCAACGTGCTTTACCCAATCGGGGTGGTCAATCAGGTGAACCCACTAGTCCTATCTGAGGCTAGCGTACCCCATTTTAGCTTTTGAGCCGCAGCTGAGTCATGCTACAGTGTTCCCTGTGCGGGCTGACTCAATACTGACTCAGCCAAGCTTCCCGGGGATGGCTTCATTTCCGACGCTTTCGGCAGCTTTTCTTCCCCGCCAAACCCCTCACCACTCTCAACACCATGGCCTTTCGCGGTGAACGTTTCGTTCTTGATCTGGGCTCTGACGATGAGTCCCCTTCAGCCGACAGCTATGATGGCGCTCAGGGTGCCTCGACCCTCAACATCCCCGGGATGATCGGCGAAATCCGTGAACGCTCCCCCGCCGCGGCGCCCGCCCCGCCTACTCCAAAACCAACCACCACCGGCTTTCCAGCCCATCGCCGTCGGGCCAAACCCTCTACATTTAAACAGCGACGAGACCCAGCTCCGTCTGCAACTGCATCCGCCTCTGCTTCTGCACCGGGTCCGAAGGATGAGAAAACGGCCATCGCGCAGGAAAATGCGCGGCAACTGGCCTCCATGTCGGACGCGCAGATTGAACATGAGCGCCAGGAACTGATGGAAACCATGGACACGTCTCTACTTGAGCGCTTCCTTCGTCGAGCTCGTATCGACGCCGACGACATCCCCACTACCAGCTCCAAGCCTACCCGCGAACAACCCGCCGCTACTGAACCAGTCCAAGACAACAAAAAAGGAAAAGAAGCAGCAGCAGCAGCAGAACCTGCTCCTCTTCCACCACCATCAACAACAGAAACAGCAGCAACCACCAAACCACCCTCCCCCAAGAACGACACCTCCCAAGATGACGTCCCACCAACCCAAATTCCCTCGGACCTCCACGCCGCCGCCGAACTTCCCCCCTCAGGCAGCGTACACTTCCCCGCGCCTCCATCCCAAGCCTCCCCAATGCCCAACCTAGACCCGTCCTCACCCTCATTCCTCTCCGACCTCCAAACCCATTACTTTCCTAACATCTCACACGACCCCTCCGCCCTCTCCTGGCTACAACCCCCCTCCGCAGACCCCGAAGACCCGGACTCCACGTCCGCCTACCACCCCGCCAGCAACGCCGAAGCCATCCACCCAGCCAACCTACGCTTCTCTCTCCTCGGCACGGTGCTCTCCCCATCAACCTCTCTCTCCCTTCCCACGACCCTGGGCCTACATCATCACGGCAAAGACCCCCATGCAGCGGGGTACACCATTCCCGAACTGGCCATCCTGAGTCAGTCGACGTTCCCGGCGCAACGGTGTATCGCGTGGCAGGTTCTCGGGCGGATTCTGTTCCGTCTGGGGAAGGGCCAATTCGGAGAAAGGGGGAGTCCGCTGGTCGAGGGGCTGTGGTCTGTTGTGGAGAAGGAGGGTGTTGTGGCAGGTATGTTGGCCGAAGCGGATGGTGCGACTCCTGGGACGGGTTCTTCCCGTCGTGCTGGACAGGAGAAAGAAGGTGACGCAGAGAAGGAGACGACGGAGAATGCTACTACTGCTGGTGCTGGTGGATCTAGTCGTCGACAACATGCTAGCGCTACTGCGTGGGCAGTCGAGGGTGTCTGGTTATGGCAGATGGGGGGTGGAGGTGACCGGGGAGTCTTGAAGGAGGGAGCGATTCGATCTCAGTGATTGTCAACCGTATCTTGGTTTATTAGCGATTTCATTAATAAAAGTTGAAGAATTCATCAACAATCAAACATGCATCATTGCAGGTCTAAGTAATGCACATATCCTCATAATGGTTATCATGACCAAACTACATCCGGTACAGTAATGGTATCACCACCTCTCCAGAATCACACACTTTCTCCCTCCCCTCTCATGCATCGAACCACAAACCATGTATGCGTACATGCAAAGCAGAAAGATATAAATCGAACACCAGCCTCTCAGATCCTAACAAAACTCCATCCAGCCATATCGTAAGCGACATAACAATCAATCAACACACCCTTCAATCAATCAATCAATCATAATCCCCAATCTGCACTCCCCAAATCTTCCACCTCATCTCCTCAATGTAATCCCTCCTTAGCCAAAGTCCATCCGAGGCACCTACTTGGCTCGATAGACCCCCATTCTCAGACCTTTCCTGCTCCTCCCTCTGCCTCTCCGCGAAGCGTTCCTCAGCCGAAGACAGAGAAGACGAAGACGAAGCATCAATCCAATTAAACAACAACCGCAACTGCCAGATACGATCGCGGACTTCATCCGGATCAGCAGCGCGGCCACGCGCCGCCTGGATGGTATTCTTGACGATGGCCTCGAGGACGAGTTTGCTATCCACGGCGGATTGGCGCAGCCAGGGGGCGTAGGAGAGGGCAGCGGTGTTGCTGTGACTAGTACTATTGGTGGTGGGGAAGAAGGAGGAAGGAAGGACGAGGGACTTTTCGCGGACGTCCAGACCCCGCAGAGAGGGGAGGTTGAAGATCCATTCCCACATGCTCTGGGTTGGGGAGGTAGGGGTGCGATTGACGCCGGAGGTGAGCAGGGTTGCGAGATTGGGCATTGCGGCTGGCGGAAGGCCCTTGCCGTGGTTGGAGGCGGAGGTGGAGGAGGGGAGGACGTCTTGGGCTTCGCTGAGGCCGGAGAGAGTTGAGACGAAGACCGACGAGCCGGTAGGGTTGTAGGTGGCTTTGCGACGGAGGTAGATGGATTGGTCGCCCTGGTGGAACTTCTGGCGTAGGCCGGGGTCCTTGGAGAAGTCCAGGACCAGGGGCCAGTAGTCTGCGTTGCGAATCTCGACTCGGGTGAGGCTGTTGAAGTCGGGGAGAAGACAGGGAGCGGTGATCTTGCGGCTGATGCCATCTTGGTTGGTTATGGTGATGGGGATGGAGATGGGTCGGCGGGTGTCGATGTCGCGCGGCACCAGGCAACGAGGCTCTGCGGCGAGGACCCAGAGATGTCGGAAGGCTTGTAGATGGCATTTGTTGTCGAGGACGGTTGTAGGAAAGATGGGGTACAAGGAGCAGATCAGTGAGGCAATCGCCAGGTCGGAGGTGCCGAGGGTGTAGCTGCCACCTCCCAGGAACAGTAGGCCCAGAGCCATATGCGCCGCCATATGGCTGCCATACGGAGTGTCGGCGTCTACGCGGCCATGGAGAGACCGCAAGCGACGGAAAAGTGCCAAATCACCGGTGCCTGCCATGACAGCGGCAGCGGAAAGGGCCACGACATCCTGGCAGTGTCGTACTGAGTTCCGGGCTAACTTGGCGTCATAGTTGACAGCAGGAAGTCTGCAGATGCGGATGAACTGGTCCAGATATGCGAGCAACAGATCACGCACGGAGGTTTGTGCAGAGCCCGCATAGCGGAGACCCAAGGTGAAGCACAGACCAGCGACAATATTGAAGAATGGCATGTCGTCACTCTTCAGCCGACGGACGCCGGTGAGGCGATACCGACGGCGGTAGACTGGCGGCAGACTCTGTATGAACCAGTCATCCGTAGAACGGATACTGTCCCACATGATGAGATGTTTGGCAAGAGTGCGGAGAAGGAATAGGTCAGGCCGAACATAGTCGAAGCGCACTGTGGTGTCCGGGATATCAATCTTCTGGGCCAATATCTCGTCATTGGTCTTCATGAAAATGATCGCCAGGGCAATCGTGGCACCGGCCGTGGCCCGGTCCAGGACGTGCGCGAGATCCACGTTCTTAGTGCCCACTGCAACAGCCAACAGCCTCTCCACGATGTGCATGTCGCGCATTCCCCGGAGGTCTTTGCCTTTGGCCAGATTGATAAATCCAAGAGCGAGCCCCGCAGCCAGGCGGTATCCTTCATCGCGCAGGTCCTCGTGAGAGCCCTCCTCCTGCTCCACGTTTTCGATCTCTGACAGCATCACTTCACTCATTCGTCGATGTTGAGATCCGCAGTAGAGGAGGCCGATGCCCATGATTCCCGCTGTTTGTGTCAACGGCGACAGATTCAGCTCGGCAGCACCAAGAGGGAGCATCCGGGTGACATGAACCGAGAGAAGTCGGGTTATCAGCGTGTCCATCGTGCCTAAATACGAAGCCGACAAGCCGAGCAACAAGCCAATGGATGTCATCGTATGTTTGGGAGTGAGATATTTGAACGCCACCCACTTGGCCAAGGATTTAAGATGCCCGTTCAGGCCGAGAGCGAGCAAGAAGCCCGCATGTCTGTTAGTAAGCTCCTGAGGCTTGTTGAAAAGTATCCAAGATGTGTCAATGCCTTTGGAGCTCTTCGATATAGCAAGGCCAGTAGAGACGCCATTGTGGAAGAACGCCCAACACACCTTTTCCTCGCTAAACGAGGCCCGGTCCGCGCTGATTGTCACATTCGACGGTTTCATGACACACTGCAGGGAGAACGAAGGAATCGGAAGTTTCTCCGTCAACAATGGCAGTCGTCCGCTAAAGGTCAACATGGCGCGACCCGTGGGAATGGAGAGCGTCCTCAGTGTCACAAGCTGCACTACCTCTTTCTGGGCTTCTAGCAGGTCCGAGTCGGTCCATTCTGGCTCGGGTATGCACTCTGCAACCGGCGCTTTGGACTGGTTCAGCAACCGAGCGGCGTCAATGAAACGCTTATCCTCACGGAAGATCAGCCTCGTCACTGAAAACCGGTCTGCCTCCGCGGAAGCTTCGAACGAGTTGGTTGCATCCACATCCAATGCAGAGTTACCAATGTGATGCACATCGCGTATGGCATCGTGCGAGACTGCCGGCTGCAGCGACGACGTGGCCGACGGAAGCCATGGCTTATTCTTGCCCATGGAAATACTCAGGTCTTCGCGATCAATCAGTTCAAGAAGCGTTGAGCTCCAGGACGTAGATGCATGCATTTGTGACTGCATGATCGCTTCGTAGAGGGGGGCGCTGACACCTTCTGGGAAGCTCTCGATGATGCTTCTAGTGAAACCCCAACGATGGAGAAGCTTGACCCGGTCGAACGGTGCCGCGAGGTTATGCACTTCTGAGAGGAACCCATCGAGAGCCAGCGTTCTGGGAGTGAGCGTAAAGCACTCTTTCCACAACCTTCCTTTCTTTGGAGGCCTGTCCGGGCTGGTTACCAAGTTCAGGAGAGTGAAAAATGAATCTGACGGCTGGCGCCAGGCGGCTTCCAGGTGAGCAAAGATTGACGGCGGCGGGAATGGCTCTGCGGGGAGGTCGAGCATTGAGATGCGAGTCTCTTCGAATTGCCACCGATCCATACTAGCCATCTCCATGCCATAATAGGCATCCTCGGCCCATGTCCAAGACTGCCAGCCAAGCCATCCGCCAAGTTGGGCCAGGACTGGAGCTAGGAGACCCAGAGGCTTGCCCGATTGCTCGCTATCACAGACGGAGAGCTTTTGCTCCTCGCGGAAAAGATGTAACGCGACGAGTATAGTACATAGTGCGGTGCCTCGTATGCTCTGGTTGAAGGATAACGCCGTGGGCAGATAGCCGCCTGAGCCTACTGAGAGGGTGCCCCGGGAGGTGTTCAGGAAGTCCCTTGTCAGAGCAATGCATCGAAGGAGATATGTGTTCGTTCGACACGTGGACCGGCTCGAGGGCACCTGGTGGCCGTGGCTTACTTCGCTATCTTCAGCGTCTTGTTCAACCACCCAGGCCCACGAACTACTGGCCATCCACGGTGCTACCACGCCCCCAGAGCCAGACTCCTGCTCTAACATGGTCTCCCAGCTCTCGAGATCGACGTGGCTTCCACTGCTTGACCTCAACAGCCCCTTCTTTCTGCGGGTCGGTTTGGCCGGAGTCCGGGGTTGTTCACTGTCAATGAATTGGATCGCCATTGCAAACAACATCACCACCATGGCTGTCCATTCGAGATCATTTTCGCTGGTGTCTCTCTCCTGAAGCCATGCCATAGTCTCCCACCAGGCAGCCAAAAGCCCGTCTCCGGCTTTTTGGTCCGATAGTGCAAACCGGCAGACATTGAGCACACGTTTCACCAGCTCATTGCTAGGTTCCATTTGGACCTGTAGTTTCACTTTCCGGTTTTCGGAGTCAATAGCATCGAACTTTCCTCTGGCTGCAGTATGATCGAAGCCCGTCACGGTGATCGGCGAGTCAGTCAATAGTCGTTTCACACCACTTTCTCTTCGACGGTTGCCAGACGTATTGAGATTTATGCCGTATGCTTCATGCAGCATGAGTTTCCGGGGAATTTGAATCGGAGTTGCTTTGCTCCATGGAGTCTGCAACTGCAACACCTGCTCGCCACCATCTGTCTTCTTTAGGGTCAAGATCCGTGAGATCCCACCATCCACAATCTTGCAGGCATCCCATACATCTGCAAAGTGCTGTATTCCGGAGGCTTGAACAATTAATGATCGTTCATCAGATAGCGTACTTCTCTTTGGCTTTTTTGAGAATACTGCGTCCTTCTTGGAAACCGCAACCTTGTCTGCTCGTAGGCTAACGACCGTCATTGACTTCGCTTCTTGATCCACTAAGTAAAGCGCCAAAGCCGCGGAATTTCCAGATTGTGCATTGCCGTACTCTGACGGACATAAAGTCATGATCTTGATCCGCCGAGCTGACGGCTTTGACTTGACCGGTGTCTGGAAGGAGACCGAAAACTTTGAAGAAAAGCTTTCAACTTTGGAAAGGAAGACTTCTTCGGGAAGACCTGACGCCGCATGGTTCAGGTCCATGTTCTCGAATCCTTCGAAAAGACTTTCGTTGTTCAGCTCTTCAAGCAGTCTATCGACTGGCGCATCGACAAAGCTTCCAGTAGTGCTGTACACTGAGCCATTGCCGGGTGGAAGAGAACCCCTGGGATTGAAGCCAAAGCTGCCTCGAGTGCTTCCAGCCCCAAGAGATTGCCGAAAATTACCATGTGGCATGGAGCTCGATTGGCTGCCTGTGGCTAAGTCGGAAAACGTGATCCTATCCTGGCTGGCAGCCAGATCCGCGCGTGCAAGAAGAGAGCTCACTCGTCTTGATGTCTTGAGTGGCACGCCAATGTCCCCAAAGTCTTGACCCAGCTTAGACGCCAGGTCGTCTTCATCCGGCTTCCCTTCGACAGAATATTGCGAAAGAGACAACCCAGACGTGTTCCACCCATCACCTCTTGGACCAAAGCTTTCTCTAGCACCCGATGGACGACCAGCGGGCGTGGTTGTACCTGTCGTCATTCCAAAGTGTGAACTGCGTCGCTTCGAGCGAGTGCCACCCGTGTCTCTCCTTTCCTTCTTTTTCGATGAGGGCGTAGTTTCGTCTTGTCTGTAGTGAGCCGTCCATATCGTGTACAACCCTGTGTTGATATTGACGGTCACCACAAGGATCAAAGGTCCAATGGAAAGCCCCCGATTAGAGCTTGACAATTCATCTCTTGGAGAAACATAGACAATTGCATCCGCTGGGTCAAGGACATCCAATCCGGAAGGTCTGGCCGAGACACTAGTTTGTAGCCAACGAGACGACTGGTTGGTGACGACGAGTCCCATTTCCGAGTGCGGATCCATAAGAGAGAACACTCTGGGCATGTCGGCATGTTTGCTTGCCCGTGGCTTCAGGCCAGGTTTGGGGGCTGGGGAAATTGTCAAGGATGGTCTTTTGGATTTGCCAGAAGGTATGTCGAGCGACTGAGATGCACGGAAGTCAGGCAGGGATGAAACGAACGAGTTCGGGGGCGCGGCCGGTGGTGAGTTGTTGGCTTCCTCCTCGTGTAGTTTTCTCTGAATCAGAAGGCCCTTGGGGGTCGCAAACACGGAATCAACTTCGAACGGTAGGGGCACAACATGGCTGTTCCCGGCAAGAAAGAAGATGTGAGCCTGGGACTTGAGGACCACAACCAAGGCTCGCGCATTGTTCGCGTCTGTGCCGCTAGTATCGCGAGAGCCTTCGCCATTCTGACCCAGCATCAACAATGAGCCCTTCGATAGTCCAGCACTAAGATGATCAGGCGATCCTCGACTGCGGCCTGAGGTACTGCCTAGCTGCGCTGCCTCGCCCTTTAAGGATTTCGAGACGCTTGACTCGGACCTCTTTATCTTTCCCACCGCAAATCTCGTCAACAAAGCATGCCTAATTTCCTCCTTTTCTAAATCAAGCCTGAACACCCTCTTGATGACCCCCGCTCGTGACCAAACCGCACAGCTTCTTGTCCAAACAATCTCATCTTCGACCGGGCCGTTGGAGTCTCGATCAACGCTCGTTGTCCATGAGTAGAGCTCCTCCGAGGGATCTGGGGGCAAGAGGCCTTCTGCGACAAGGAATGCGATGGCCGAGGGCTCATGCAATCCGAGGGATCGAACTGTAGCCATTATCGGTGTATATGGTCGGGCGTAGCGGTAGAATTTCTGGCAGTGGGAGCCAGAGGCGATATCATGCCCATTGTCAGGTTAGACCATCAAACAGGCAGGTCAACGCGCTTGACGGATTGACGACAATGGGCGTTGTTGGGGAGTTGTCGTGGTGGTTGCGGCGTGAGGGGAAGCAAAGGCAGGTGTTGCTTGGAGACGCGATGGACGCGGCGGGCCAACTTTCCATCCTCAACTCAGCGGCTTTTTTCCTCCGCGGCCTCCCCAAACTTCCTTCACTTTCACCTTCTTCCTCACCACCCACTCACTAACTGCCCTTTCAACCCGCCCTTCTATTCTACATGGTCACTCTTGTTCTCTTCAGCTAGTGGTCTTAATCGTAACTCTTTCGATACGCTTGGTAACGCGATCTGCCCTGTTGGCGGCGTCGGTCTCCCTTTGAGCTCTGTTCTTGACCGTACAAGCAAACCGCCACCACAACAATGCCGTCCTTTCCATCTCGACCTCTAGTCCGGCCGAGGGACGATGGACTCCAGTTAAGGTAGATTCGTGTTCTATTCTAGATTATAACAGCCACATCGTGCTTACGGGATACTCCATCTAGCTATCAACTGCCTCATCGTGTACACGCAGCTACAGGCTACCCCCTCCTGGCCCCCAATGGCTCGTCGATCGTTGTTTACGGTTATGAGACTGGACTGAAGGTAGTCTGGAGGGGAGGAAGACACTTTTCCACCGAGAAGCCTTCTGCCCCGAAAGTGGACAAACCGCAGAAAGCCAGCAACGCCAATGATGATGCGGTCATGATTATTGATTCCGATGAGGAGAGCATGGCGGAGACCCAGCAGACTCAGCAAGATGAAGAGCCTACCTACCAGTTCGAAGAGGACGAAACCGAGGTGGACCCCTTCCACCCTTACGACGATGTCTTGCGCCAGCTTGATATACCCCTTGGAAGCAGAGTCCTCCAGCTGGCTGTGCCTCGTGTCCTCCCCGAAACAGCGCGCTCTTCGCTCGATCCATTTCCCCCGGCTCTGAAGAAGGACATCATCATCGCTGCTGTGTGCGCAGACTATTCTACTCGCATTGTAACTCTGCCTTTGCTGCCCCCTCACCCTACGCAAAGCGACTTCAGCATTCAGACGATCTCAATTAGTGGTGGAGTATCACACCAGGAGATCCCGCGGGGAGTTAGCATCGCCTTCACCTATCAAGGAATTGATCAGCAAGATCAGGATACATCTTCAAACCATGGTTCATCCCGCTCGTCTACAGGAAGGTGGGATCTCCTCGTCGCAACACATTCAGCTGAGTCGTCTGGTCTCTTGATTATTCATCGGATTCCGGTCGCAGAGGAGGAGAAGGCGCGCGGCACTGTATATCGTTTGTGCGATGATGAGATTGAGACTAAGCGACGGCACTTGCCCGCCCCTGCTGTGAACATCTCTTTCAATCCCTCGGGTTACCCTGCCCTTCGACACTCCACGTTGCTCGTTGCGTTCCACAGCGGCTGTGTCAAGGTATACTCTTGCTTCTCCACGAAACCACTCAAAGCCTCGCGGAGGTCGTCCGGGGCCCAGAGCGAATTTGAGACCGTCGACACGGAAGGGAAATGGTTGATCAGTCTGTACCCCGGTTTTGAGCAATCTGCTTCGGGACTCCCTCGACGGAAGATCATCACTCACGCAGAATGGGTGCTTGGAGGGCGTGCCATCTTGGTCCTCACGTCGGATGGCGAATGGGGTGTCTGGGATTTGGAAGGGGCTGGCCCCGGGACCATCAAAGGTCCGCTTCAGCGACAGTCCAGTGTGCAGGGAGTAACAGGTGGTTCACTGACAACGTTTTCCGTCAGCGGTCGGATTCTGAGTCCCCTGCCTGGTGCCAGTCGTTCTGAGACAAGCGGACCTTCCTTCGAACAACGGCCCAAATTTGCGCCCTTGACGCCGTCTACGAAGCGTCTGCGCGAAGACACGCTGCTCAAAGGCGCCTCCGTTGGAACAGCCAGCCCATCCCTGAGTGGAGGGATCTCAGTGTATCAGACTAACTCCTGGAGGGACGCGCTGCCCGATGAATCGATTTTGCTGCAGCATGGAAACCAAAGCGCAGTCATTCCCAGTCTGCTCTCCTTATGGCGCAACGCTGTCAAGGCTAGTGGCACCTTCGATTCATCAAACCGCTGCCGGGTGTCTCCCCTCCAAGATATCACCCTAGTGGGAGAGCGCCTGAAAGGCATCGGACATCTCCCTGCGGCGACCCGCTCTACTCGCACACAGCCATTTGATATGCTTCTCACGGCCGAACATCGACTTGTGATCCTCGCCCCACGGTTGACTGAGCCAGCACCAGCACCCGTTACCGAATACATCCCCGAGCCCGCCACTCAGGAAACAGACCAGCAGATGCTCCAAAGGGGGCAGCTCGGCGTGGAAGGAATGGACCGACTCCTTAGTGGCATGGCGAGCACGAATCGCTCACTCCGTATGGGAAGTCCCATCAAGCGAGCGCGGGTCTTCACTTAAGCAGACACAATGTCGACAGCAGAACAGCCACCCTCCCTTTTTCCACATATGCTCCCCACATGTTCCTAACAGATGAAGCTGAGATCAAAGAACAGAGATACCCATCCATCACACTCACACCTCTCATACCTCCTCTCTCCTCTCCTCCTCCACCCGTAGACCCCATACCCAAAATTCGCACTGCAAGGTGGAGCGCAAGGCGAGGTCCATGCCTTGAAATCCCTTCCTTCCCTCCGTTCATCTCCCACGACCTCTATCGTGCGAGAAAGACCGGGTTGGAAGGGATAAGCTCTGTATCGGTCGCGAGACATCAACCATCACATCCCATCCCATCATCCAATTTTTCGTCCTTTAGAACTTTCTAAAGGACAATCAATCAATCCTCCCCACAACCGGGTTTACCATCAAGCCCAGAAACCACCTCATTCCCAAACATCGGACTGAGTCCTCTGCTCCTTTCCTTTTCTCTCCCTCGTGACTCGATACTGATCTATCCGTCTGTATTTCTGTCCGTGCGTTCTCGCAAAGATGGAGGTTTTATATCTCCTATCTGGACAGATCTGGACGGAGCTGCCTACATCAGTATCAGATATGAGTGGATGGGACTAAGGACTGCTGGTGTTGGGGGTGGGGTTGGGAATAAGAGGGGTTGATTTGGTGGGAACATTTTCTGTTTTGTTTTTTTTTTTTTTAAGTTGTAGCAAGCTAGATTTATTATGAATGTAGATGTTTGAGTGTGCTGTGGTAATAGAGGTCAATCAATTACTTGCTTTCATTTACTACTAGTACGATGGATTATCACACTGAAGTCAAGGATTTACTTTATATACAATGATATCTAGTGAAGACGAAATACTAAGGGGAGTGAGGAGCATCCATACTACACTCATTCATTTATTGATAACTTGAAGGCGATCTACCAATTGAAATGGAAATAAATGGACAATGCAAATTGAATTCAAGTTATTTAGCTGTTTACTACAAGCTGCTACCTGAAGCGTACGGAATTCTCAGACTAATAATTGGGATGCATGGGAACATTACCGAGTTACCACTATCACAAACTGATGCAGAGGAAAGTAGTAGATACCATCTAAGAAATCACCGTTCTTCTGTCTCTTCGCTTCTTCTCTTTATTTTTTCTTTAGACTCTTTCGGTGTATGTATATACAGATATACAGGGTAAAATAGCTAATGTCACCCTCGCTGAACACAGTTCTAACACACCAGAAAGCTATATCGTCGACATCCATCCACATCAGATCAGAGAAGATAATACTCCGTCACAGCAAACAGACCAGCCAGAGCCACTGGACAATATGTACAATTCATACAGGCAGCCAGCCAAGAAGGGAAAAGAAAAATCATGATAATAGTGTTAAGCGAGCAACGCCAACAGCGCAGAAACCGGTGCGCATATTTCCAAATGGGTGTTGATTCAAATGCTGTTTAGTAGTAATCCAGATCCTTGACCCAATAAGATATGGGTGCCTCTCTCTATCCACTGTAGCCCAAACCTTCGAGCTCTTTGCGTACCGACTCTTCAGTCTGGATCTTCTTCATCTGCGTATCCTCGAGCTTCTCTCCACCGGCAAGGCGCATTTTCAGCTCGTCGATCGCGCGGATCTTCTTCAAAAGTCCACGGATCTTCTTGTCCTGCGCGGAGTGAGCACCGCTCGCATCGGCTGCTGCCGCCGCTGCCGCAGCAGCAGCAGCGGCAGCGGCAGCGTTGTTGGCATTGGCCTTGGATGCCGGAGCACCATTGGCCTGGCCGCCGTTCTTGCGCTCATTCTGGCCCTTGGATCGGTTGCGGTCGTCACCCTTCTCGCCGCGGCGGTCCGGGCTCGGCTCGTCCTCACCATCCTTCTGCTTCCTGGCCTCACGCTTCTTCTTGTTGCGCGCAGCGGACTTGGACAGCTTCTCGGGCTGGTCGGCACCGGGGGGCAGAGCAACTCCACCTCCAGGAGCGGCTCCCGGAGGAAGGAATTCCTCGGCCGGCTCAGCACCCGGCACCTCACGTCTGCGCGTCCGGCCAAATCCGTTCGTGGTGTGAACGGTAGCACCGCCACTGGCGCCATCCCGGATAAAGACCGCGCCGCCCTGGTCCTCGCGCTTGAAGGCGAGAGGGGTGAGCTGGCCACGGGCACCGGGAGGCCGGTACGCACCAGCCGGCTTGACCGGAGCCTTTCTGGTGCTCAGGTACGCCACGGCGGAGGGGTGGGGGGTCGGAAGCGGGCTGAACGGATCGCCGAGGGGATGCTGGATCAGCGACTGGGGGCGCCAACACACATCGTAGAGCTCGTTCATGTCCTCGTTGTACATCAAAGCACCGCTGACATGCCAGAGACGGATGCCATTGTCGACTCGGAGACGTGGGCTGGTCGTGGCCGTCAGGATATACTGGCCGTCGGGGGACCAGTTGCAGACACTGGCGTTGGAGGCTTCGACGGTGGCGATCTTGTGGAAGTTCTTGTCCATATCGTAGATGTCCATCTGACCGGCCAAGTTACCGAAACCAGCCACCAGCACGAACCGTCCGTGGGGCGAGAAGAGGATGGTGTTCCGAGGGGCCAAAGCGAAAGTGTGTTTAGGCACACCGCGGAAGTTGAAGATGGTGGTCTTCGCGGGCATGTAGCCATACACCACACCGAACTCCTTGGAGTTAGGAGACCAGGTCACATCGTGAATAGGTCCCTCCTTATCCAAGTCCACACGAGAGTCGAAGCCACCACCAGCACTGAGCAGGTAGAGGGTGGTCTCGCCGTAGTAACTCTTGCCCGACCGATCCACGTCCGTCTGCGCAAGCACGATTACGGTGGTACCCTGCTCGTTCCACTTGAGCTGGACCTTGTCGCCCTTGAAGAAGGTCTTCTGCGAGACGGGGGATCCAAACTGAGGCACCAAAAAGACCTTGACAGCAGCGGGTTGTCCCTAAGCAGCAAAAAGTCAGTCAGTTTTGAAATGATGATACTCTTATCGGATTTGTGAACAAGTGCACCACACGTACCTTGCGCTCAGGAATGAAGACAGCCACAGAGTGGTTCTTGCCAGGAGCGACCGCAAAGTCCGCAACCCCCTCCACACGCAACTTGTTCCAGACCTGAGACAGGTTCTCGCTCTGGTAGAACTGGACTTCGTTGGTGACGACCCGGGCACAGTAACGCTCGTCGGAGGTGTATTGAAGGTTCCAGCCGGTCTGCGACTTCTGGACGAAGTTGCCCACAGGCGTATGCACGTCACCGTTCTCGGACGACTGCACGACCTGCCAGACCTTCAGGTTCTTGACCGCATCGCCATTGGCATCCTTGGAAGGGCGTTGCCAGGTGATCAGGTAGGTTCCGAGGGGCGAGAATCCCAGCTCGAAAACGTTATCGGCAGCGATGGTCGAGACCACATGTCCGACAGAAGGATCGATGATGGTGACCCTAGTAGACAACCTGTAAGTTTCCGTTTCTTCTTTTTCGGTTTCAGTGAGGGTCGAGAGACGTACTTCTCTGGGGATGCCCATGCGAAATACCGGCCGCAGGGAGAGTAAGCGCTACAGCGAATGTTTCCTTCGGGTCTGCAAAAAAACAGAAGATGAGAAGGATTAGCGAGCTATTCGAAGTAGACAAAAATCGATCGAATTGGGCTTTACATACCTTTCGAACCCCGACAAAGGTTCATAAACTGGGGCCGCATCCAAGATGCCAATGCCCTTGACCGTACGGTCTACAGCTAGTTAGACTTGCCCTTGGACAGCAGAAAATCCAAAAAAGAACGATTGTTTCTTCACCCGTCCTGTTTTGTAGAAAGGAAAGGGAATAGAACAGCAGGTAGACTCACAAGCAAGCTGGGTGGGAGCTGCCATTTCGAAATGTCTCTCAACGTTTCACTCTGGTGGGACGAAACACGTATTCACAAAAGCCACGGAAGCAGCTAGAGGCGCGCGCGCAGACGATGCTAATGCGACGGACCAAGAAAAATCACAAAGCCCAGGATCTCAGTGGTAGAAGGTGAGAAACGTTCCCCGCCACTTAGGTAGTGTGTAACAGGGCAGCAGAAAAATTGCACGGGTAGTCTTCGGAAGTAATCCAGTGGGAAGACTGAACGAGAATTTTACTACCGGGGTGTAGTGATAACGAATACGAAAGATAGATCGAGAGTGGACGAGGGTTAAAAGATATGGCTGTTTGGAGGTTGAAGCGTGGCGAGAAGTTGTGGTCTGGGAGTGCCGCGAAACACACAAACACACACAAAGACTCAAAAGTGGATGGCAGCGAAGCTTGGCGGGATTGAACGAATACCTCAGTACGAGTCTCCGGTCCAAAAGGGAAATTCTCGATGCTTGACAAGTCAATGCCAGCAATGACAGGGACAGGAAGACAGTCGGGGTTGGAGGGAGGAGGAGGGGGGAAAGGAAGTTGGAAAGGGTGGGGAAGGTGACAAGAAGAAGAGAGGAAGAGAGGGAGAGAGAGAGAGAGAGAAGAGAAGAGGAAGCAGGAACTTAGCAGGAAGAAGAGGCGCCGAGAGAGAAGCCAGACAAGTGAAAGGCTGAAGGGGACCCGCGATGGAGCCTCCCCTCCCATTGGGCGATCTCGGCCCCAGTTCACCACAGTTACAGTTGAATTGTTGCTCGTTTTTTTTTGCCTCCAGTCATTTCCCATCTACCAAGTATTTTTTTTTTTTTTTTGTGGTACTTGCACTACTGGATTTTACTTACTAAATAAATTAGATTGCTATGCTTCCCACCATACATGGGAAGCACTGGCAGAGGGACCACAGACATCTCCCGGGGGGTCTAGACTTTGGCAACTGTGAGGAAAAAGAAGATTCGCCCCGATTCGCCTGTTGGAGTCAATCTGGTCCTGCTCCGGTCGGGATGGAGATCCTCCTCGTTGGACCCGTAATGCTTAGATTAATCTAATCCTAATCAACTCCCCAGCCTAGTTCCTTACTATGCAGTATTTCTCAAGACCGTTTGGCGGGCACTTTCAATTGCTTCACAAACTAAGTACCTGGAAGAAATGGTAAGAAATGACTCGCTGCTAGCTAACTATTCTACAAGTAGATATTTGTTGCAGATAACCCGATCTCTCTCTCTCTCTCTCTCTCTCTCTCTCTCTCTCTTCCTCTCTCTCTCTCTCTCTTCCTCTCTCTCTCTCTCTCGTAATAGAGAAAGACGTAAATTGACCTAGAGCCCACAAAAGCCTCCCTCGCCAATATTGATCATATCCTCCTTCTCTCCTCCCCAGCAAAGAACTATGTCCCATTCTTTTCCCGTACAATTACAATGCCAAAACCCATGAACTTAGTGAAGCGGGAAAACACTTTGCAGGAAACGCCCGTAATCCTATCCTTTGGGCAACCCCGACCTTACGTTCATCGGTCTGTCTGTCGGTCTCCCTTTTACTTGCAGAAGAAGCAAACCTACTAATTCAAAAAGTCGGCTCGCCCCCTTGAGCGGGAGTGGCCAATCGCGGGGTCCTCACAGTGGTGTCAATCACATCCGAGTCGAACGTCATCCCATCGACCATCCGCGCATCTTGTGTAGGTTCCGGTGTCACGGATCCGGTCGGCGACTGGGTCGACAGCAGCATCGCGCCCTCCCCAGAGTGTTGCTGACTGTGGGATGCGAATGCGCTCGCACGACTCACTCCAGGGCTGCCCAAGGAGCTCGGTCGATGTCCCGATGATGTTCGGTTCAGCAGCGGATGTGAAGTTGGGCCACTAATAGTACTGGCACCTTCTCCGAATGCCACCAGGCTAGCGTCTCCTTCATCACTGTAGTTGCCAACACTGGACGTCCCGTCCTCCGGGTACTCACTCATTCGGTCTGCATCGAACGCATCACTGCCACTGGCCCAGGTCGTGCGGGCGCCCACGCTGCCTGTCGCACTGGCACTACCTACCGTGCTTCTTTCTTTGATCCCAGAGCCACTGTCAAAGTAGCCGGGGTATTGAGTCCCTGCCACCATGCCCGTAGGCTGTGGATTGCCACCCGCCCGTGCCGTGGCCACTCGTTCCAGGCCTGCTAAACGCGAGATACGGTCGGCGCGTTCTGCTTCCAGCGTGGTGGTGGATGTAGCGGATGCGGAATGGGAGTGGTGAGCGTGACGACCGTGAGGATGAGGCTGACCCTGATGGCCATCCTTGATGGCGGTTGTTGACAAGGCCGACAACGAAGTCGTACCGGAGTTTGGGGTCCCTCTAGTGCGTCGCAAACTTCTTGTCAGCTTGATCTTGTATAGGTGCTAGCTAAAAAATGAAGAAATGAAGATGAAGGTGGAAAGCTGCATGACAAGATCAGAATAAAAGTATGAAGAAGCTGGATAACTTACGGCCCCATGTCCGATGGAGTCACTGGGTCAGATGGCGGTGGAGGGAGATTGATCAGAGTTGGAGTGGTCATCTTGTTCTGGTAAAGCTCGATCGAAGTTGAATATTCACAAATTGGAGGGGCGTCTGCTCAATGTAGAACGCAATGAACGATAGAGGTAGATAACACGATTTAGGGAGGGTGTGATCGTTCAAGGAGATGCTGCGGTAAGGATGTCGATCTGGATGCGAAAGAAAGATTGAGGAAGCAAATAATAAGATGGTTTGAGAAAGCAAATAATAAGATGGTTTGAGAAAAGAAACGGATGGATCTGCGGGGCAGTGAATTGGCTGGTCTACTTATGATGAACCAAGTCGTGCAACAATAAGAGACGGGGGAGGATCCGTGGTAAGAGTTGGGAGATCGCAATGGCCTTTTTAAGGTTTGAGGGCGGAGAGTTCAAAGCCAACTTGGTAGTAGTAGTAGTACTGTAGACTAAATAGTAACAGGAGGGTAAGTGATAGTATTAGTAGTAGCAGTAGTAGTTTCAGTGGACTGGGAAGGGAAGTAAATGAATGAATGAACGGGTCAGTGAAAGTGAGGCTGTCGGTGGGCCAGCACCATCGATGAACCTTCAATCTGAAGCAGATTCGCCTTCTTTTTATGCTTCTTTTCTTGGATACTATTTCCCAGCCTCAATGCAGGTCCATTCCAGGCGCCTTCTAGTGGATGTTTCGGAAAGCCATCGCCAGTTCCCCGCGGTTTCGGAGGGCACCTTTTTTTCCCCTGGAGGTGATTGTGACTAGTACTACGACTAGTAGTTAGTAAGTACTATGATGGACTCATGCTTGGACTTCCCTCTGCGATGGTCCCAATTGGGTTTAGTCTCTGCCCCGGCAGCCCCTGACGTCAACCCCCGCCGCTGGCCACTCCACCGTCCAATCAGCAGCGGGCGCGGGGCTCGACACCTGAGAGCCTGAAGGGTCAGATTCCGAATGCAGCCTCCCACCACACCCTTTCACATCACAACCCGGAATGAATGTACGCCATGCTTGCATTCCCGTTCCATCTGGGCCCTCGAAGAATGACTCTATTATTGTAGCATTGGTTCGTATGGTGACAGACAGGTCTAATGTGCTGTGATAGCGCTGCGGCGTTCACGTGTTCAAGAATGGGGAAATAAATAAAAATAAACATAAAAACTCAGAAGCCGTCATCTACCCCTCTTGCCTTTTCCTCCTTCACTCTCTCCTCTGTAATGTCCCACCACCAGCTGTGTGGCGCTTCTCGGCTTGAGCGAGGTTCGCGACCCGACCGGACAGCCTCGCTCTCATCCCACGGTTTGGGGTTAAGCAGATAGTGCATATTCTTGACGCTCTCGTCTCGCCAGATCGCATCATGAATCCCCTCCCACCGCATGGTTTTGAGCGCATTGTAGATGTATGGCAGCGCTACCCATCGTCCAAAGAACACATCCGATAGCAGGGATTGATCGGCAAATTCATAGTTAGTGGTCGCAGACGAGGACAGCTGTGCCAAAATTTTATCATAGACTTCTTGGGACGGGTTGACCACCTGAAGACCGCCGTTGGGGATACCCAGCCCGGTCGTGGGTGATGCGCCCTCGGTCTGCGCGACATCCGGAGTGGCATGCTGGGATGTGTATGCGCAATTGGATGGAATCCTGGACAGTGGTGCATTAGTCCTTGAATACTTATCAGGGAAGTCGTGTCCTCGTAGGACCTGGGAATGAAAGAAGGATTGTTCATACCAATCAGGAGGGTAGTGCGGCTTCTTCAGCGGGTTACAGACACAGGCATGACTGGCGGCAAAAACACGGTTCCCTGTCCCAGCCAGTGCTGGAGGGTCCAGCTCGAGTTCCATCAACTCGTCCATATTCCGGAGAATCATCATGTCACTGTCTAGCTGCACAACGCGCTCGTACTCCACAAGAGAGAAGGGCGTAAGCTTGCTCCAGCAGTCATAGAAGCGTACATCGTTGACGTAGTCCTTGGGTACTGAGGGCAGCAGATAGGGAACACGCTGCTTCAATATTCCACGGGCATCGAGAGCAGCATGGCCCTCCGCCGGGAAGGAGTCCGTGTAGAGAGCAATCAGCGGATATTTCGATCCCACTTTACGGAGGGAGTACTCTAGGGTCAGCAGCCCCGACAGGTAGGCAGTATTTGTAATTAGAGTCGTCCATACTGAGACAGGTCAGCGCTGAGTGCTCTCAGGGTGTTCTGAAGCCGTCGACGTAGACAGTACCTTTCGTCGCATCAGTTATGCGGGGAACGTCGGTATTGTGGGCCATGGCTGGAAAATATAGATGCTTTAGAACCGAGCCGTCGAATGAGAGTTCTGTAGCACCGGGATTCACGCTGGACAGCCGCCCTGGGGATGATTAGAACGAATTGAGACTCGCGCTTACAGCTCCGGAGACGAACTTGTTACGCACTGAACAGCAAGAATTCAAAAGAGGGGAAGATGGAGCGAGGGACGTGGAGATGAGGACGCGGTTGATGACTTCGGGTCATCGGGAGTCTCGCATTATCACGGAAGCCTAACCGGCTTCGTCTTAGCGATATTCACCATCCTTATCTTGATGGCACCATTAGTCAGGGATCGGACATGGAATAATCTCGAAGCTTTAGATTTTAACATTACTGCATAGTAGATACATATTATCTAGATAGATTCCCTGCTACCGAAAGAGTGGGCCCGCGGCTGAAGGTGTTCCTCACAACCGATAAACGAAAAAGTCAAACGTCTTACATTGATAACTGTTCTTATCAAACCCGTCGACATTAATCTGCTTAATATACTATCTATCTACTACGTGCTTACTCTCCGGACAAAAGTTGACTAGCCGTAACTAGAGCAGAATAATGCTTACTAACACGCATTTAGTAACTAACTATGCTCCCCCAAACGGGTGACACATTTTCAATAAGTAACTAGATAGATGTTCTAATATTAATCATGAAACCAGACTATGTGCTGCAGGTAGATATAATGGCGTTCCCTCCAAAGTATCTGTAACAGATCTTTGCCTGTTCGGGATCCAGGCGGTCAGTCCCGTCCATGGATTCCTCTTGATGCCTGGGAATATTAATGGATCTGCTTTACTTTACTCCGCCCCAATTCCGACGGATGTAAACAACCTCCTTTATCGATTTCAACCTCTCAGCTATCATTCCTCTCGGAATTTCGTCTGCTTTCGAAATTGAACATCTTTTCTACTGCTAGCAAAGAGACCGATAAATGCTCAACTGCCTGCTCTCATGACAGAGCGCAGCAACGAGGCGGAGCCTCTCATCCACGGTGGATGGGTGCCGCCGGACTCGCATATACCGCCAGGTCCATCCACCCCTGATGAGGCATCCAAGAGCAGCGCTTACCTCTTCACACTTACCCTAGCCATGGGAGGGTGAGTACTTAATGGCATGAGCTTGCTCTGTTGTCCTCATTGACCCGTTTCTTAGTCTCCAGATTGTCTATTCGATCCAGCATTCCAGTGGATCAGTAAGTTGTAAAGCTCAAGAAATCAAACAAATCTCAGTAGCTAATCCAACTTCGCTTATCCCATAGCCGTATCTTCTATCTCTAGGAATGAGCAAAGCGCTGCTTGCCTTTGTCTGGATTGCAGGGCCCCTTACAGGCACTCTGGTGCAGCCTTACATTGGCATCCGAAGTGACAATTGCCGCATCTCCTGGGGCAAGCGAAAGCCGTTCATGGTATTCGGTGGCGTGCTCTTGGCTATCTGTTTGCTAGCCCTGGCTTGGGTGCGAGAACTTGTCGGCGGCTTATTTGGCCTATTTGGCCTTGATGCTCAGGCAGCTGAAACCAAAACTGCAGTCATCGTGGCTGCAACGCTCTTAATGTACTGCCAAGACTTTGCCATTAACACTGGTATGGTATCTACGCTAACTGGCTCTTATGAAACATGCTTCTGACATCCTGTCACAGTCCAAGCAGCTACCCGGGCTTTCATCGTCGATAATGCCCCGGCTCATCAGCAGGAAGCGGCAAATGCCTGGGCAAGCCGTCACGTCAGCGCAGGGAACATCTTTGGCTTCATCATTGGCGGGCTGAATCTGCCGAGGATTATCCCATTCCTCGGGAATACACAATTCAAAGGCATCAGCGTAATTGCTAGTGTCTCACTAGCAATCACTCTATCCATTGGTTGCGCTTATATCAAGGAAAAGGATCCGCGCATGGAGCCATCTTCATCTGCAAGTCTAGGGTTTGTATCCCTGCTTCAGTCCATTAAAGAATCGGTTCATCGCCTCCCTTTGCGTATTCGCCAGGTCTATATTATCCAGGCTGCAGCATGGTTCGGGTGGTTTTCGTTTTTGTTCTACGCCACCACTTATATAGGGCAGTTGTATGTGAACCCCATCTTCGAAAGTCATCAAGATCTATCGGATGATGAGATCAACAAGGTATGGGAGGATGCTACACGCATCGGTACTTTGGCTATGCTCGTGAATGCGCTAGTGTCTTTTGCAGCGAGTATCATCCTGCCAATGCTAGTGGTTCCTTTAGAGAAACAAGAGGCAGCTGAAGCGAGCACTAGCTCGAGCAACTTCCGCTTGAAGTTAAGGATTCCCGGTTTATCACTACGCCGCGCATGGCTTCTCTCTCATTGCCTATTTGCCATCTGCATGTTCAGCACATTCTTTGTCTCGTCCCCGGGACAAGCATCGGTAATGACTGGCATAATTGGCATTGCCTGGGCTGTCACGGCGTGGGCACCATATGCCCTGATCGCATCTGAGATCGCGCAGGAAGACCCTGGACGACCGGCACATCGTCGAGCAAGATCCGGCGAAGTAGAAGGGGCAAGCAGTCTGCCATATGTTCAGGAAATCGATGAAACGAGAAGGACGGCACAAAAATCAGCAAACCAAGCCGGCGTCGTTCTTGGTCTACATAATGTCGCTATTTCCTTCCCCCAGATTATTTCCAGTGCTATAGGAAGCGTCATCTTCAAGGCGCTACAGAAGCCACGAGGGCAGCCTTGGGATACCAGCACAAGCTGGGTCATGAGACTGGGAGGATGTGCTGCCATTCTAGCAGCTTTCTTGACAATGAGGCTCCAAGAGCAGTCTAGGAGAAAGTAGAACGCATATCGGAAACCGCACAATCTCGAGACCATATTTGGGAATAGAAAATTACAAATAGACCTTGGTACTCGACTCCTTTCATTCTCGAAGGCCACCCAAGGCCATTTCGTGCCTGCTGACACACTGGTATTTGGCAGCATCGTAGCGGCACTCAAAGCTGGGAGATGAAGCATTCCGTTCCACTATTATGATCATGCAAGGCACTAGAGAGTCTCGTGAAGGGAATGCAGGCGCAATCAGCATACATCCTATTTGCGGGGATGAACATCGATCGTGTTCTCTGCCAGAGCCAACTCGGATCCTGCGATGACAGCGGCCGATGGTTGGCGGCCGATGCGCTCAGATGCATTAGCGCAGCAACCCTTCACCATCCCTCCAACTTACTTATCCCAAGCCCCTCCAGAGATCATGAGCTCGCCTTGGATGTCAGTCAAGAGCACCATATCCCGGCTGCTGGCTGGGTTAAGCCTCCGAATGGATGTTTCGTCAACGGTGGCTACCTGGCTCTCTCTCGCCGTTACGGTGGTAGGGCTGGGCTCCATTGTCACCCAATTCGGGACAATCATCGATCAGACTGACCCCTTCCACACCCTGCGAGATGTACAGCACCTGGGTCGCTGGCGGTTATGGCAGCCACACGTTCCTTGGTATAGAGTCGTGAAGCCCCCTCTTGTCGGGCCTGTAATCAACGCCAATCTGCCATGCGGGCTCTGTGGCAGAAAGACCGTCCATGTCAGTCGACGGCCACTTGCGCAGCCAACTGGTAAGGCTGCATGGTCCATCCTGCTCAACGTCATTCATCCACCTTCTACTACCCCCGAGGAGTCCTTCCAGACCGGGTCGTTAGTCTCTACCAAAAGCCCCTTCAAGACTGAGCACGTCGTGACCATCTCCGGAGAACCGCCCGTCCAGCTGCCAACCTGGGATAGCCTTCCTCGAGGCCCTCTCACCAAGCACAAGCTAACCGCTTGCACGGTCATCTCTCGCGCAACCCTCATGGCTCTATTCACCGTGACCAATGCTCGACCAGTGTTTCGGCACAGCGGCGCATCTGGCCATCGAGCCGCCTACGCCTCCTACTGCGGACAGTGGTACGTCGAATGGCCCATTGGCGACGCCGCACACGTCCACTTCGCGGCCCACGATTCGCACACGCTGAACAAAGACGTCTACCCTCCAACCTTTGAAGTACGTGTCGACCGCTGTCTGCGCATGCTAGCCGGGGTCATCGAAAGTCCTGCGTCCTCTCCACCATTCAAATGCGCCTTCCCCGGCCGCAAAGCATCGGGCAGATGGATTCTCGAACACATCGTTCGAGGCTTTGGCGGCGCCCACGGCAGCAGACACCTCTACAACATGATTGGAGGCAACGTCAATGAAGTCGATCTTCTATTAATGAAGCCCATCACCGAGGACAATAATGACTACGACATATCATCAGAACTAGAATCCACTTCCACTACTCTCTCACTTCCCAGCACTGAATCCAACCCCCGCCACCAAACCACCACCACCCACTCCGTAACCCTCCACATCCCACCCCACGAAACCACCATCCTCAACACCTGCCTTGACTACCTCCCCTGGACCTCCCTCTCCTGGTCCATCCACCGCGGCCTCCGCGACATCCTCCTCGCCTTCGCCAAACCACGCATGAACCACTACCGCGCTCGACTCGCTCATACCCTCCGCACCACCGTCTCCACGCAGGCAGACCGGCTCATTGCCCGCGGCTGGGACGCCCAGTTCGTCCGCAATGGCAGCATGGCCGACCTAGCCGCGGGTGCCGTATTAGCCGGGAGCGGCAATTCCGGAGACGCGGTGCGCATCGTCACGGATATAGCGGCGGTATGGTGTGAGGGGCGAGGAAATGGTGATGGGTTGGCTGTCATATCGTTGGATGAGACGATGTTTTGGAGGGTTCCCCACCAGCCGGTAGAAGAAGTAAATAGAGAAGGTGGTGATAGTGGAGAGTTAAGTTCCATGGCTGTTGTGGCGCTAGTCAAGTTCTTTGTCTTGGAATGGAGTGTGGAATTGGATTATCAGATGTATCATGATCTACCGTTGGAGTTGTATTTGGGGTAGATCATTTGCATGTTTCCTTGATGTCTTGCTGCTTTCTTTCTAGATTTTCTTCGCGGTTATAAATATCTGTGGTGGTGGTGGTTGTTGTTGGTATTCATTACGGTGGATAGTGGTAAGAGTAAGCCGATTCATCTTTGAGCCATCCTCCTCTGGAGGAATTGCATGCGCGATTTCTCTATAGAGAGAAATCTACTAAGGGTATCATTACTAGTAGTACTAGAATAAACTGTAACATATAAAGCGTAACGAACCAGTGACCTGGTCGTGTGACCACTATACTGTAGTTAGTAGTATACATGAGTACTAGAGAGGTATATCAACCACCATGTATCATGCGTCATTTGGTTCCATTACCTGGTCAATTGATTGACCAATTCCAATGCCTGCATGCCTTTAACGTACAACTGAATAGGAGGCGATAAGAGAGCACTTCTGGGTTGGGTGGTAAGGATGCTACTAGGATAGTTAGCAGTACGTGCTAACTATCGATTCTTTGTGCAGGCCTGCAGATGAAGTTCTTGTTTCGCTATGGCTATGACGCAAGTCCAGTACGGTGCAAATGAGATGACCAACCGGTTGTCTCTCGGAGTTGATTGAGGGATAGTACAACACATGCATAATTTGCAGACCTCACTGACCCAACAGAAACATATACTATACTCAAGAATGAAAGGGGAACAAAAAACCAAGCGCTATGCTTCATCACTCATTCACGTCACATGTCCATGTACACTCACTCACTCACTCACTCACTCTCACTCCCTACGATGGCTGTGCCTCTTTTAATACTTGCACTTTCTGCAGAAGGACAGGGAAAGAGAGATAGGGATAGGAACTAAGTCGAGCACCCTACGGGGCTGGACTTCTTAATCGGCCTATTGGCTGGCCTTTCGGCTCTCGTAATGCCCGCGCAAATCGTCTACTTCTTTCTGTAACCGGCTCAAATCGGCCAGGATATCATGGGCGTTTGATGGATGCGGGACGAACTCGTCCTGTGCTGCTGGCGCTGCCGGTGCCGCCGTCGTCTCGTCGGCTGGTTTGCCCGATCGGAGACTCTGGCCGCTGCTGTCAATGCTGTGGTTGCTCGATCCGCGAGAGCGTCGCGGCGGCGGAGGCGGGGGGAGGGGGTTGTAAAGCGAGGTCCGCTTCGTCGACGATCCTGTTGACGTCGACTGTGACGTTTCTGTGGGCGACACCGGTGCGGCTGCAGAGGGCTCCGGACGCAGGGTTGAAGTTGCAGTATGCATGGGCTCCTCGGACGGGGTACTGCCCGTACGGGACTCCCGAGTTCGTGCTGGGTTCAGGGACCAGCCACTTGGACTGGGTGGCGGCGATGATGACGATGATGCCGCGCTCGAGTCCTGTGCTACATGGATGGATAACCGTAATGGGTTGACTTTGGACATGGTGGTCTTCGACCGTCTCATCTGACTGTGCCGTCGACTCAGCGGCGGAGTTGGGGGCCGCTTATGCTGCGATTGACTCCGCCGGAGGGACTCTGTCGACTGCTCAGTCGACGGCGGCTCGTCTTTGGGCTTAGCGGAGAAATAGTCGGACCCCGATTGAGGTGGTCGGGGGGAGTAGGATGGCTCAGATGGGGAGCCATGGAAAGAGAAGCGGTTGGTCGCCTTGCCAGGGGTGGTCTGGGTGAGCGAGGGTGTGACGCCAGGGCTGGGGGCGATCCGTTTTCCATGATGACTCTTGGGCGGAGGCGGAGGTATCCGGTCCCTGTTACTCGGACGGCTGGCAAGAGGACGTGAGCTGGGATCTAATGATGGGGTCAAGCCCGACCCAGCTCGAGTAGCTGGTCCGGTCCGCAGGTCGGAAGGTCGAGATACATCCGTGGAGCTGCTGTCGGGCGTCCGGGTGCCTCCGTAGGACGTGGATGAACGCGTCGACACATTCGAAGCAGCTACGGGCGCATTCTCGCGGGGCGTGCCAGCCTGTTCCAGGTCTGCTGGACGATCATGGGTGCTCCTCTGCGCTGGGAGTGTGATGGCTCCGGGCGGCGCGGATCTCCTGGAGTATAAGGCTGGGTCTGGAACGGTCCTGATCGATGGCTGGGAGCGATCATCGTCCCGGGAAGGTGGGTGAGCGACCTGGTAGGTGCGTTTGGAGTCTAAGTCATCAATGTCCTCTTGGTCCTCCGCCTCTCCATCGTCATCGGTCGCATACGAGTGCTGGTGGAAGGGATCCGAAGCAGACTGGTCATCGGAGGAGGCCGTATCGTCGGGATCCGGGGTCAAGGATGCGGGAGGGGTTCGAGGGACTGAGCGGAAGGAGGTGGAAGGGAAGGTCACGGAGGGAACGGGCTTCGAGGGATGCGAGGTAAAGGAGGGCTGAGGTTGAGATTGGAACGGAGGCAGAGGAGGCGCCGGCGCAGGAGCAGGAGCAGCGAAGGTATCTGGGGATGGGGAGGTCAGCATCATGGGTCAAGGACAGCTCCGTCCATCTCGTCCGACCAGCACGCGACGAACGGTGCGCAGGAACCGGAACCGCCGGACGGACTCACTCTCGGGCTTCTTAGGGCGGAAAGGATTTAATCCAGACATCGCGGAGGAGAAGGGCAGCACTGACCATGAGAGCAAGGAAAAGGAGGGAAGGGTTGGATGGAAGAGAAGGAGAGGGAGGGAGGGAAGAGGGAGACGGAGAGGGAGAGAGTGAGAGAGAGACACAGAGGGAAGGGGAATGACAGAGCGCAAGTCAACAACTGGAGAAAGAGAGAGAGAGAGAGGCTCTCGGCCAACAACCTTACTTTTTAGTATTTACTACTGCTTAGTACTAGTTTTAGTTCCCTTTGGCTTTTACTACTTCAAGGTTCCGCGGCTTTCACTATGAGGTTCACAAACTACTATGAACTACTGGATATGCATAGTATATGCCGATAAATCGTAGTCTGGAATCACTCTCACATGCTGCATTCTGCCTGGGTCGTATTTGCCCTCTCTTCCACTCCTCATGTTCACTTTCACTCTTTCTCCCACACATACATATATTGTAAACAAAGGGAAAACGAATAAAAAAAAGATAATAATATCGCGGGGTAAGAATGAATAAAAAGAAAGAAGAAAGAAAAAGAAATAAGGATATATATATGGTACAGTGAAGAATGGTAGATCGGTAGTCGAAGAATATACCAAGCCACGCGGAACCCGACGGACCCTCCCAATAAACACCTCTTCCAGTTATACAGTCAGTTAAGAATAAAAATGTGAAAAAAAAAAAAAAAATAAAAAATAAAAAGGAAAAATCTCAAATGAACGCGTGCAATCACAAATGGTCGTCACAAGAGTAGCCCTCCCTCGAAGGTCAATGCCCGAGAAAGCCTGGGTATCAACTCGCCCGTGTATCACGAAAACAGTCCGCCCGTCGGTCTTCCTCCCCTTCCCCCCCTTTCAGTCCCCAACAATGCAAAAAAGAAATCAAATGCAATCTCTTGTTTCTTTCCGTAGTCTATTGTTGTCGTCTTAGCTTTCCTCGTAAACATGCCACTCTTCGTTGCCGAAAAATGACTGCGCCAACCCTTTGCCACTTTCAGTCGGTTGGCTGAACGCCACCTGCTCCTTGGGGATTTCCATCCCGTAGATGAAGTTGCTCACCACGCAGTCTAACAGATCCATGGCAATGCCTTTCCGGCGTGAAGAGCCCGATGTCCATATGCGCGAGATGCCCACAATGGCCGGATGTCTTTCCTCCCCCACCGTGACCGACGAGTCCGGTCCATTGCCCGAAGCGGCCGATTTCTTGACCGGCCGTGACTCCCAAATCCGCTCCGTCAAACATGCCCCTACACATCGGCTGTCCTTCATGTGCAAAAACACCTTGTACCGGTCCACCTTCTCCGGTACACCGTTCTGTTGCAGATGCTTGGGCGCTTCCGTCTGACTCCACAGGACCTCGTCCTCGATCGTCGGGGATGACAGCTCCTTGCAAATAACTTCCAGCACCTTCTTCGCTTGGTTCTTTGCGGTCGGCGATGCCTTGCGATCCACAATGACCACATATCCCTCGTCAAACCGTGTAGCTTCGTAGACCCAGCGTGATGCGTTGGCCCGCATGAAGGCCTTCCCCAGGTCCACCCCGGTAGAGTTCATGTCATGGAATTTCTTATGCAACGCCGCATCTTCCGTGTTCGATGGCACATATTCCATGCCACACGTTGCACACGTCCTCCGTACTTCGTGGCCCAGGTCGATCTGCATCTGCTTCAAGACCGGCGGCTGCTGCGGCTGCGGCGCTTTCTTCTTGGGTGGGTCCACCGAGGCGCGCACGCTGTTGGAGTTGACCTCGGTGAGTGGGGTGCCATTGGTCGTGCCGTTGGTGGTGGTGGTGCCGTTCGTAACGGGGGTGCCATTGCTGGCATCCTTGGTGGCGGACTGTTTACGCTTCAGGAAGGCAAACGTGGGTTTCCGCGTGCTGGCGGGAGGGGGGCTTAATCGCGGCGGGGGAGAAGATGGGGGTGTCGACAGATCATCTTCCTGAGTGCCTTCGGAGAGAAGAATGGAATTGCGACGCGACGGACTGGACATGATGGCGGCGGAAGACTCGCGGATGGCATATTGGATGCTATTTTCGGCTTCGTCGGAATCATTGCCGGATTGAACGCGTCGTTTTTTGGCGGCAGGCCGTTGGTCATCGTCATAAACGCGCCAGAGTGGCCGTCCGTAAGTTTTCATCATGAGACCTCTGCGTGGGGGGGAACCCAAGAGGGGAGCGTGTTAGTTGGAGTGGCGGCAACCAAGGGATAAGGGAATTAAGGAGCAGGGGCATGATTTCACAACGTACCGCTTGAATGAGTTTGTCACAGTCCACGGCATCTCCCTTTCTGATGTACCAGAGGCATTCAAGCGAGGTAAAACATTTATGGCAGAGGTATAGTCTGGAAGGGAGAAGAGGTAGGAAGGAGAAAGAGGAGGACGAAGAAATAGACAGAAGCAGGGAGAGCTGATCGATGATGCAGTGGAATGAGCTGCCTGACGGAATGCCAGGAAATTATTATGGATTGGGAAGGGCGGATTTGGCGGTCGCCGATCGACGGGAAACGCGTGAGAATCACTGGTCTAAACCACATTCAGTCATATTGCTGCCTTTCCGTTACAGAGAGTTTCGTTTTCCCTTCCTTACCCTTTTATACACTCACACCAGCTGATGAATGACGATGATGGTGATGATGATGTGAATCAGCAGATGTAGCAGCAGATATTCCCCTTTTTATATTTAATATTCCCCGTGTATCAGCAAGCTCTAAGCTGATAATGATGATGATTATGATGATGACAGCTCTGCTGCTCTTCCCCCCCACATCCCAGCTATATCACTAACAATGATGAAAATAACCCACGGTGGCGTCGTGTCCGCAGGATGCAAAAGAGTCATGAATGAATGTTCATTCAATACCACCAACCACCTCCGAACAGTGAAGTACTTCAAACAAGGTGTTACTTGTGGAACACTACTCACGGCAGCCAAAGAGATTTGAAGCAGATGAAGGTTCAAATCACAAACGCCCAAATTGTCACTGGACGAAAGAGCAATGAGAGACAAGAGAGCCCCCCCGGCTTACAAAGTAAATTTATGAGTAAAGTTCCCAGTCGATGCTGTGCCATCATCGTTGCCGTCCCGAACTTCGCCTCCTTATATCATGAGCCCCCAACCAACCAGACTCTCTGGTGCAACACCATTCAGGTTGGCCCGACTCCTGAGTTGTGGACTCCGGATGTATGAACAAGTCGGTGGCAGCTGAGGTGGCCAGCCTCGTCACTTAGTTTTCCCTCTCCTGGTGATTATGTACAAGATTAAATAGAATGAAAAACAAATGATTCATCCCATTTCCCATTCGTGCATTCCCCCGTTCGTTTCTTCTCCCACTCCACATAATAGTATACTACTACACACACACAATGCATCCATCGTTAACATTAGTGGTGTGAGGCAAATTTCACCAGATCGACTAGAGAGCCATTCTCTTTTACCTTTCTACGATTTCCTGTCGTTTTCCTTTTCCTCAGTCTTTATCTCTCCCCCAACCTCGCCCTTGCTGGACAAACGAACCAACACCGATGCCTTACTGGGTCACTGCCATGTTCTGGCACTGCCTTGCCGGCATTTGACTTGCAGCTCGGGTCCTCAGCTTTGTTCCGGGATTGGATGTGATGGCTACACAGGGCTCCCGGCTGATCTTGATCTACTTGCATCGGTGACCTCTCTCTTTCCCCTCCTCTGTTTCTTGCCATTTGTCTCGTTCTTATCTGTATATGGCTATGTGATCCATTCTTGGGCAGCTCCAGACCAGCTGTCACACCACATGGGGGGTGTTGGTTGTCTTTTGTCCTTACATGATGTGTCTTTATGTCATCGCAGCCTAGACCAGGCAGATAGTCAACAATCCCAAAGCAAGCAAGTCACTGACAGCCGGATCGAGATGCCGATCGTGAGGACCGATCATGAGAACGCGGATCATCCATCTAGGTAGCTTATTTGCTTTTTTTTTGCTTTCATCATTGTGCCTCATTCAAGGCAAGACTTGTCACCTTTCGCCTCCCGTCCTGTGAGGGGGTTGGCCAGTGAAAGGTAGATCTGAAGCCTCTGATTGCTTCCTTTCGTCTGTACCTGTACGAAGAGTTACATTCCTCCACCCCTCCCAATGACTAGATAGATAGCACAACTGCAGCTGCTGCGCACCCCAACCAAGTAGATGAAGCCAAATCGGATGTAGATGGACAGATCCCGAGGCGGGGCACCACCAACTCTCCATCAAACGAAGGTACAAACTGGCCAGATGCCGGCGCGACAAGCTGTCATCGGTAGAACAAGATGTCTATTCTAGAGGCTCAGTGGCTCGACAATCACGCCTTTGTGCAACCGAAAAGGTTACACTTCAGGGTACTGTGTACGAGGGCATCTCCTGCAGAAATGGGCATGGGCCAGGAATCCGGAGATACTGCCATGGTGGGGGGTTCAATCCGACAGATGCTTGATGGGGAGCTGAGGAGGTGATGAAGAAGGGAGGAAGTTGCTAGTTAACTAGCCGTAGTCTTACATCTGAGTAAGACACGGAGTAAGACAATTAACTAGTACCAGTAGTTAGTTACTTCCTCTGCCTGAAGGAGTAACCAACTCGTTAACGGGTTTTGAGATTAGAACCAGTGATCCGGCTAGTGACTCGGATACGAGAGAGGCCGTGGTGGTTAGCAGGTTACTCTCTGTCTCTTCATCTAATCACATTATTCAAACCCCGAATCGGGGAAGCTAACCAAGCTGATGGGTGCGAATATTGGCGTGAAGAAAAGCAAAGCAGGCCAATGATGGCAAGAAGAGGAATGCACCGGTCCAATGCATTGCTGATCGGAGATTACACGATAATCTTAGGTCATTGGACCAAGCCATGTTCTAGTTGAGACTTTAGCCCATGAGAAGGTATCCCATCAATGCATGGATGGCTCCGGGGGAGACACCCAGACCCCGGCGGGCAACAATCTGCAACTTGTTTACTATCCTCAGCATCCACTACTATTTCAGTTAAACTTCAACCTAGACGGAGTTGTTTATAGGCATATCTTATCTATCGTAGATAGCTCTCTGAGAGGTTGGATGAACCGAATTGCTTGGAACCGGGAAATGACACATGAAAGAGAGTTTGGTACCAAGAGGAGTTTTCTGCATTGTTTTTCCATCCCGAAACTCCGCCGGGCGGCCAGCCCCCAAACAGCCGCCAATCGAGTGATTCAATTTACCCCGGCGCTGCTGCTGTTCCTTTCAAAGTCCGTCTCTTGTCGCTCCTCGGGGACTTTTTGGATTTGATTTTTCGCCCAAAAGAAAAGCATCATCCTGTCCCGCATCCTTCACACCCTCATTCTTTCCTTCAAGTGAGGGGAATCTGCATTGCGATAACGTGAGAGACACTGTCAAAGAATAAGAAGGAAGGGGCCAGAAAGAGAAAAAAAAAAAGGAAAAGGGAATAGAAAAGCTATTATTGCTTTGCTGCTCACACCATCCTTTTCTATTATAAACTCCCGTTGAGCCTAGTCTCCTCTTCATCGCCGCCTTCGTTTCCCATCTCTTTTTTTCCTCTCGTACTTTTCCTCGCTTTACTTTTTTTTTTCTTCCCTTCCCTAACCTCCGTTGCGGTCTCAATTCCCCATTAATCACCACCAGCAACATTCCAAGAGTTGGAAAACAGTTGCAGGTATAATCCGAGGATAGAAAAAAGCTCTGCTTCGGGATTCACTTATAATCTTGCACCATCACCCATCAATCAATTCGCATCATGTCGGATCCTATCCAGGTTGCCGGGAAGAGAAAGCGTGCCAGTACGTTCCCCCAATTGCAATTTAAACCCGCGGTTCGCTCTTCAATCCCTTCTCTGCTTTTCCTGCGTTTCCCTGCTTTCCCTTCCCCCAAATCTCTCAGCCTTGCTGTCTCATGTACAGCCGGTGACACCTCGTGCTATTCCCCGCCTGATTTTTCTTATCGCCAACGCGGGAGATCAACATTCCTTTTTTTCTCTCTTCTTTCTTACTTTTTCTTCTTCACGGCTGTCTTTCTTTGTCTCTCGCGATCCCATCATCATCTGTTGATGGGTTAATTCCCTGCATCGCTATTCTTTCTACGTTGTTTGTTAAAATCACAATCGCCGTTTTTTCTATTCTTGTCTCTGTGACACGCCCTGTCTGTCGCATCACCCAGTTTCCAGCTCCATCTTAGCCTCATCACCCTCAACCAACCGCGTGGATCTGTCTTGTTTCTATCACCATTAGAAATGGTTGCTGACTCGGCTGAACCTGCAGGGACGCAATCCTGCCCTCCCCCCGAATTGCCCCAGCTCGTTGCGGAACAGCACACTCCCATCCCTGCTCATGACAAAGAGACCCAGCGTCTGATTGTCGTTCTCTCCCATGCCAGCTTGGAAACCTATCGGGCTTCCAGCGGACGCAATGGTTCCGGTCGTGATGAGAAGTACTCCCTGCTCAACAGCGATGAACACATTGGTGTCATGCGCAAGATGAACCGGGATATCAGCGAGGCTCGCCCGGATATCACACATCAGGTTGGTTGCTCTGTCTGGGATAGCCAACAACGGCTTGGTGGATGGTTGCTAATGATATATGCTTGTTAGTGCCTGCTCACCCTGCTCGACTCCCCCGTGAACAAGGCGGGTAAGCTGCAGATCTTCATCCACACTGCCAAGGGTGTCTTGATCGAGGTGAACCCTAGCGTGCGCATTCCTCGTACCTTCAAGCGATTCGCTGGTTTGATGGTACAGCTGTTGCACCGCCTCTCCATCCGTTCCACCAACTCCCAGGAGAAGCTCCTGAAGGTCATCAAGAACCCCATCACCGACCACCTTCCCCCCAACTGCCGCAAGGTGACCCTCAGTTTCGAAGCCCCCGTAGTGCGCACCCGCGACTACATCGAATCGCTAGGCCCCAAGGAGAGCGTCTGTATCTTCGTGGGTGCCATGGCTAAGGGACACGATGACTTTGCCGACTCCTTCAAGGATGACACGATTTCCATCAGTAACTACAGCTTGAGTGCCAGTGTCGCATGCAGCAAGTTCTGCCATGCCGCCGAGGAGGTGTGGGACATTGTCTGAGCGCAGAACTTCGGACGCTCCTATCCCGCTTCTCAGGAATGGCCAAAGCTTGACGAGGTGACGAATTTCCTTGCGCCCATACATCTGAAACGGTACGATCGAGAAACGGTCAGCGGGTCCTAGCTCGGGGACGAAACCTTGTCTTCCGCGCGCTGTTCGCGTATTCTCTCTGCCTGGGTGTATTTGCATCGCTTGCTGTTCTCTGCACGTCTTGATGGGTTTTCGTGTCTGTTTTCTCGCGTCTCGCGTCGCGGTCGCTGCTTGACTGCTGGATGCGATTTTCTGGAAACTAAGAACGCCTCATTTATTTGGGTCCCGTGATGAACTGGCAGGCCCTCTTTGCTTCGGCGGGCCTGCGCCGGTGGGTGGGTGTCACGGCACGGCCCACCGGTCCCCAGTTTCTTCTGATAGATCCCTCTGTTTTGAGTTCTGCAGGTTCGAATGCCTCGACGAGGATCTGGGTCTTCTTTTTTTCCAAATATCTTAGGTGGGTGTGATCTAATCACTGTAATCTGCAACGCCCCATCGGGGGTGTTGTACACTGTTGCAGTCTCGCATGCGAGACATTATCTATATAGCAGCACGAATACACCAGATACATTTACCATCGAGGCACAACCATGGACACGGAGGTCTGACACCCGCCGTTCAGCCCCTGCCCAGATACTCGATCCTACTTCCTCTCCCCCCTTTGTCTTCCCTTACAGACTTTGATGGTCCCAACTGGTCCTCTGACCGGATCACTAGTATCTAGTAGGATAGTTGTCAGTAGTAGACCCAGCAGTAGATGTTTGTAGCCACAGGGAGGGGCTCCTTGGAGACCCGGAATCCAGATGGAAACTGGCGGCCCTTGCGCCGGTGACGTTCATTTGTGTGATGGCGCCAATTAGCCAATTGGCCGGAAGACTCGAGCCGGTCGGACCTTGACGATGATCGGAATCATCTGGAGGTACGAGAGTGACCGTAGAAGCAAGAAAGAAGCAGAACAAGTGGGAAAGCCAGCGAACAGAAGGGGGAGGGGGGGAAAGAGTGGGTTTGTGCCTGAGGCTGGCCCCGCCAGTATCTCTCCATGACTTTTGGACTAACTTTCCCTTCTCTCTCTATACTTCCCATCCTTTCCTTTCATCGTCTTCCTTCCCCCTTTCATCTCGGGAGAGAGACGGAAATTCTGAATATCGCTGACTCACACCTCTGAACTTTCGGAATTTGTCAGGGGAGTCTTTGTTAGCTCCCAAAGTAGCAGCAGTATTGATGGGCAGGTCAATCGGGTGGTCCCGGTGGCTGGGGACGGAGTCTCCTGTTCGACGTGGCATGCAGCCATCGCAGCAAGTGGATCGCCGACTGGGTTCGAATGGATAACTCCGTACATGAAACCAATGGAGCATCTCAGTCATCCATCTAGTCATTTGACGACGCTACAAACCCCGATGATGCTGTTGGCTGATGAGCCATCCCATCCACTTCCGAAGACAAACGGATATCACCGTATGCCACCAACTAACTCGATAATGACAGAATGATGGTGAGGTTCACTTCCATTTCTTCGTCATTTTCCGGAAATAATCTGGATTCTAGATGCTCCTATACGGAATATACCTTTTCTTTTTTTTCGTGCCGAGAGGGAATGATCCACGCCGCAGCATCGCCGGACTGGAGGAACATCTGGCGGTCAGATCGCACCGGCCGGCGACTAACAGCAGCAAATGTGCCCGAAGCAGGAACAAAACCCCCCCATCGGTCAAGCAGATTTGCCCCTCAGTGGCTCCCCCTCCTCTCCTCTCCCTACTACTTTCCTCAACACGGCTGCTTGCTGACATGCCCGTATGCGATTCGTTGTTCCCTCGTGATTGGCGACCTTCTCAAGGCGTTTGTCTGATGTCCAATCCTGGGCCCTAACCGAGTGAGCCCGTCGTTACAATCAATGATTTAGGTTAGGTCTTCAAGAAAGACAAGGGCATTTCCCCCCAATCCCTTCTTTGGCGCCGGTCTACGCACCTGTCGCGGTTTCAGCGTCTGTTTTTCGTTTGGTAGCTGCCGTCTCCACCACTGCCAATCCCCTTCATCCACCTTGTCCTGGACCCTCTCGCCTCACTCGAGTTCCCTTTTCGACAAGATGCTGCTGTCTGCCCTTGGCTCCTGCGTAGTCCCCACCGTTTTCTGATAGGCGCCCCGTCCGCCGCGACAGGGCCACCTACAGCACCGTCCACCAGTCTTTCCCCACGATGACCTGGCGGCCATCTTGAGTTTTCGTACCCCTCGATATTAGCTTCACCGAAAAAATAACATCATGGGTCGTCTGAGTATGTGTCAGAGTGGGTGGCGGCCTTGCGATAGCACCCTCCGAGCCTATCCCCTTTGGCAACTGCCTGCAGACTGAGCCTAGACGATGTTGATGCCTCGTGGATTATACTGGGCATCGTTCGGATGCCGTGCGAGTCTATGCAAGCCTGCCTGCGATAACCGGCCTAGTCTAGTCGTTCTCCACGGTTGGAACAGCTGGTCGATTTTCCATGATAATTTGCTCCCCCCTGTAAGCTTCTGACCGCTCGTGATTGGATCCCAAGTTGGGCATTTCGGGGGCATACTCCTGAAGTCCTAAGGTTGGTGTGCGTCTTGCCTTGAAATACTAGTGCTGCTTCTTACCGGCTTCTTTCCATTCCTCTCTCATGATTTCATGGGTCTTTCCTATCTATTTCTCCAGCCTTTGTGTATATATATTCTCCTGTTCTCTTACTCGCTTCTGAGTCTGCAATCGACTTTTTGATCTCTCCTGTTGGTGGATCTCTCTCCATCTGAGATCTACTATTTATCCTGCCTCGCTGCATCCCCTCCATATCTCTTTTTTTCTTCCCCTGACTTCACCTCCTTATATCACGACTCGCAAAGGGATTTACCCAGCGAGTCCACACAGACATGCCGGTCTCTCACCTCACCCTGACGGTTGCTCATCTGCCTACCTCCACATCCTTCTTTCTTTCCTGCCTGCAGCCTCTGGGGTACCAATTTATTGGGCGTCACGATGACTACATTGGTTTCGGTCAAAAGACCGGCGAGCCCGCAGATTTCTGGATCACGGAACAAAAACCAGGGTAAGTGTCCATCAGTGCTACTTTGATTCGTGTTACAAGAACTAACTATGACCTTGCAGAGTACCTGCAGGTGCCGCTCATGTCGCCTTTCCTGCAGCTACCAAGGATGCCGTGAGCACCTTCTTTATCAATGCCCTTAAAGCAGGAGGCAAGATCCACGGCGAGCCTAAGCAACGCGACTCCGACTCTGGCTACTTCAGCGCCGCCGTCATCGACTTCGATGGCAACAGCATTGAGGCAGTTTATCGCCCAAGCATCTCATCAGCCCGCTCAGAGGTCCGGTCCGTAGCCAAGTCTGTGGCCAAGTCTGAAGCCAGATCTGAGGCCAGGACCGAACTCAGTAGGCCGGCCCTGGCTTTACTCGAGAACGGCTCAGTTGTATCGAAGGCGAGCAGCAAAGCCAGCTCCGTCCGTCCCGAGAGCGTTGCGCCTCCCAAGTCTGAAGCCCGGTCGTACGTTTCCAGGTCCTCGACGGCCGTGGACAGAGCGCCTCCCCCGTACGAGCGCGCGCCGTCCACCATCAGCGTTAGCCGTGAATCTCAGCAGCCTCGCGACATTCAGCCGGCCCCATCGCCCACGTATATTGTCCACCACACGACCCACCACACCACTCAGCAGAAGACAGACGATGGCAAGACCGCCAAAACGATTGTCGGTACCCTGATTGGCGCCGCTGCCGGTGCTGCACTCGCATATGCCATGACCAAGTCCGACTCTACAGAACAACACTCTGATGGCAGTACCCCTCCCCCGCAGTATTCGCCCCGGGACATTGTTCAGATGCTCTCCCCGTCCCAAGCACCCTCTCAGACCCAGGACGAATACCCTGGCTACAAGGCTATCGAGGCTCCTCCTCCGCGAAGCGTTTATTCTTCTCGGTCCGATGCCCGCCCGGGCCTCACCCGCAGTGTTACCTCGAAGAACCCTCGCGCAGACACCATCTACGAGGGCACGGAGTTTGTCCCGCGCGGCGGCAGCGTCTACCTCGATGAGAATGGTCGTCGGGCCTCCGAGGGCAGCGTGTACACCACCAAGGACATCCCCCTGCGGGCGATCGAGTACGCCCCGCCGGCTGACTCCCGGGGCTACCAGAGCACCCTGGTCAGCAGCTTCCGTGAGGAGAAGTCGCGGGCGATGGATGGTGGCAGTGTCTATTCGTCCTCCACGGTCCGACCTCCCTCCAAGGCCAACTACCAAGAGTCCCACCATAGCTCTCATCACTCCTCGCACCACTCCTCTTACCATTCTGTGAGCCGTTCGCAAGCCGGCAGCACCGCCTCTTCCAACCGCACTGCCCGTCAGGTCCCTCTCCCCGAGGGGTCCATTGCCTCCTTCGCCTCCTACCGCAGCGGTGCCAAATCGGGCGTCTCCGCTCGCGAAGTTCCTCTTCCCGAGAGTGTCGTCGATCTCGACGTCCAGAGCCATGTCACCCCTGACGACTCGATCAGTCAAGTGGACGACTCCCGGCGGTCCTCCTACTCACACCGGTCGCATGCTTCCAAGAGCCCTTCCAAGGTGTCCAAGCACTCGAAGTTCGACGAGCCCGTCAAGCCCAGCGACAGTGTCAGCCAAGTCTCTACCAACGTCTCCAGAGCGTCTCAGCGGACCATGAAGGCCGGTGGTAGCGGCGGTGGCGGCAGTGTCGCTCCGTCCAAGGCTGCCTCGAAAGTCAGTCGCCGAACTGCCAGCCAGGTGGCTTAGCTTCCTCCTCCATTCTACATTTTAACTTTCTTCCTTTCTTCCTTTCAGCACAGTATTCATATGGCTGTGATAATTTCTCCATCATATTTGCATTACAGACCTTGTATGTGAGGCATATCTGTTTCTCTACTACATCTTTTACATATTGGACATTTGGGAAGCATGAAACCAGGCGTTTGATTTATTATGTTTTTTCAAGGGTTGGTCGTGTTCTTCAGATATATTTCGTTGGCATTTATCTGCGATTATATACTATACTATACGTACTGCATAAGAATGTTTGAATCATCTGCATTTGTCATTTTATTCCTGCATGGGCATAAGTTGTTGCTTTAGCGAAATGGTGTTACAGTCGGTCTGCATTAAGGCGCAGAATGCATATATAAAGTACATGAAGTTAGCCAGTTATCGATCTATCCTAGAGGAACTCGACCACATTAGACTTTCAATTAACTCAATAACCACGTGCTGGCACACTCGTCATAAATTGACAAGAGGACGTAAAACTGACTCATTTAGATACTAGCTGGTCTATATACTTCAAAAAGCAACAACAACGAAGTCTCTCTTCCAGCAACGATTAGATCAAGACTATCTGCCTTGAGAGCAATGGATAAAATCACGCGCTGTTAAGATCCAGTACTACTTAGCCAGATCACATGAGACTCATCAGTATTAAAAAGTACCACGAGACTCTGAAGCTAAACCCGAATCTTGTTCTCAATACATATACTATACTGCTATTCCTCCGTGCCAATACAAACTCCCCTCTCCTCAAAAAGCAACTCTTACGTATAATAAACACACATAATAATAGTTAGTAGCCAAAACACATTCAACATCTCCCCGCCCCTACAGAACAATTACCACACCCAAAACCACCAAGACATCCATCCATATAATCTACCCACCGACCCAAGAACCAAGTGAAAAATCAAAATCACCCCAAAAACTCATGCCCCAACAACTCCCCCGCTGTACTCCTCTCCTCAGGCATCCACTTCAACATCGCCCTCATAAAATCCAAAAATAATTCTTTCTCCGTACCGGTAAGGCGTCTCTCCAGGGTTTCCAGGGAGATATTATCAGGTATGGATGCTTCCGCGTGGGCGATCCAGTTACCTATACCAGTCCATCACAATTATATGAGTATTATCCTACAACCCTATGCAAGTAGGGAAAAGAAAGAGAATACTGACCCCCCTCATCAAAACACTGTCTCGTCGTCTCACTTCTGCGTACGAATTCTGGGGACGGAAACTCCCCAATTACAGCTACCATGCGAGCTAGATGGCGGAACGGATCGTGGTGGCCTGTTATGGGATCGAATATATCATCTCCGAAGAGGTGCTGGCCCTCAAAGAGGGTCCATATCTAAACAATTATTAATTATCAGCCATGAAACTATACACAACCAAACTTCAATAGTAGTAATAAAGAGAAAGAAAGAGGGGCCCCTACAACCCCCGCCACACCCCAAATATCCACCGCCGTCCCCCACGGCATTTCGAAGATGACTTCCGGTGCACGATAAATACACGGCTGCACGAACGGTCCTGAATCTTTCTGGACGGTGCCGATGCGCGCTTCGCTGAAGTCGCAGAGAGTAGGGAGGCCGTAGTTCTTACCTCCTCTTGGATGGGGGAGTTGACGGCTTGGGTGGATTATACGTGATGCATCGGTAAGTGATACCTTCCTTGGACTAGGGAATGTTGATTCTGCGTCCGCGAAGGAGGTGAGAATGGTGGGGTCGTGGAGGGTGAGCATTATATTGTCTGCTTTTATATCTGTATCATTTATATATATATATATTAGTTTACCTAGTTTATAGAAAGAATGAACAGAAGAAATTAGTAATAATACCAGTATGAACAACCCCCGCCTCAGCATGCAGGAAATCAAGCGCGAGTAGGACTCGTTTGACCGTCATTTTCAGCAAGGGGAGATCAAAAGGCTTAGAATTCAACCTCATCATATCGAGTAGGGACATGGTCATGGGCTGGAGAATTAGACATTGATGTATACCCCCTTTTCCTTTTCCTTCTTCTTCAGTAGTGTTCTGAAGTTCGAAAGAATCATACACCTCGCGAATCAAGGACTGGCCTGGATGTAAAGATCCTTTTTCCACTACTTTGGCGAGATGTTCATAGACATCATATTCGCGATTATGGGATTCTGGGGAGGAAGTGGAGATTTTGAGGACTGTGTATTTGTTCGTTCCATTGTTGGATCTTGATTATAAGGAATGATATTGATATAGAGATTGTCAGAGATCTCATCTACTGAGTATTAAGGTAGGGGTACTGCCACACCGGAGATCCCGACACACCCAGCTTGTAGAATCGGCTCCGTATCCGACTTTCCCTGTGATTTGGTATCTGGAGTGATAGATGTCGCCTATGTTGACGGGGTAGTAGTGCGTGGGGTTGTAGTGTGGGAGGGTTTCTTCCTCGATGGGGATGTCCCTAGGGAGATATTGATGGGATGTGTATTTCCTTAATGATGAGGGTACTCTTCGGTGGATGGTATAGATTCTTGGAGGTCTTAGTAGAGATGCCATTGGAGTTGACATATTCTGTGGTGTATATAGACACATGAAGTGGTGAGCTGGGGAAAGTCACTTGTAATGAGCGAATAGCTAATCCCTGGTTAGCCTGAGGCATAAACATGACTACTATAGGTGATATATCAAGTCTAGAATGTTTGTATAGGCAAACAATGAGACTGAATCCCTACACCGCCAGTTTGAGTCTGGCTACTACGTCTACATTGACTACTCCGTATGACTGCATAGTACGATCCACTGGTGAATTGGTTCCTGCTGAAATGGTTCCTACTGAAGAATACAAGCCACCAAATCCCTTACCAGCAGCATCGCCAATTAACCAACCCCTACTTCCCTCGTCTCCTCTCCTCGTCCCCTGCTTATCATTTCCACCACCCAGAGGCATCAACAATGCCTCACGACCGTACCAGTACCCAGCATCCTCCCCTCAACCCCGACCCGAGGAAATATCGAAAACCACACCCTTCCTGGGGTCTTATGTTCATCAGGTAACATTTATCCGACTCCATTGAGTGAAAATAAAAAATGCCATGAATGCATAATGAGAAGTGGTCATAATGATCGTTGGATATGACATTTCCCCGCAAATAAAAAGGAGAAAGCGAAAATAAGGGGGTAAACGCGGAATTCCAGACACACGCAAATAGTTCACGGAGAATAACAAGGAAAGGATCTACGATCACGGTACGCCAGGCTTCGGATCTGATCTAACGGAGCGAAAGAAGACGCAGAAGCGGATTGGGAAGACCAAGGTGGCCGTGGAATTTGAATTGCGAAGATCAGATGGCATATTTGCGAGTCCATTCCCGCGCGGTCGCTTCGTACCGGGGACGGTCCGTCTTATACACGTGAGCGATTTCCGGCACCAACGGGTCGTCGGGGTTGGGGTCTGTGAGCATGGAGCAGATCGAAAGGAGCACTGGAAGCAGATTAGTATATGCGTCAATAGCTCTGCAGGCAAGAGGGAAACATACCCTTGGAGATCGTGAGAGCAGGGCTCCACTGGTCTCTGAGGATGTCAAGACAGATGCTGCCGTTGGCGTTGATGTTGGGGTGGTAAATCCGGGTGGTGAAGTTGACCTTCGGGGGCTTGAATGGGTAGTCGGTGGGGAAGTGGATGTTCAGGAAGAAAACACCTCCTGAGTAGGGGGAGTCACCCTGGAAGTCGCGTTAGCAAAGTATTCCTGCTATCAACCGCCGTTGGGTGCCGCAAGGTCCTCCTGAACAAGGGAACAAAGACACTTGCTGCATCCGGACGACCACCAAAGAAATCCGGGATTACTCACAGGACCCATGATAGTTGCTTGCCAGTGGAACTGTGCAGCAAAAACTAATTGTCAGTATTCATTTCTAGGCATTGAATATCGTTGATAAAGGGTTCTAGGGTAAATCTGCGTTGGGCTGCCCCGCCGCAGTCGGCGAAAGCGGCAATGCGACCGTGTGTAACGAGGGGTTCGGAGGGGTGAAACCATACCAGGTCATCTCCGGAAGGACCAGCAGAGCAGGAAGAGGGGGGATCACTGTAAAATGAAGAAAGCCATGTTAGCGTAGTTCTATACATGCCCTGGCAATGCGTCATGACAGAGGCGCTGTCTGGCGGAGGGTCAGACGGACGCCCCGCGGCCGTGGTGGGGGTTGTAGCACCAGGCGGCGGCAAAGAGGCAGACGAGGGGAACGAGATGACGAGGACGAGGCTTACCGGCCGAGGTCAGTGAGTTCCTTGTTAATTCTCTTGAGAGCCATGGCGAATGTGTGATGTGTAAAGAGCGGAGAGGATCTCCTAGGTTAAGAGTGCAAAGCGAGTGGTATCGAATTTGAAGTTGGAAATCTGCACACGATTTCCCAGTCAGCACAACGGCGAGATATGTAAGAAGAGAAGAAGAACAACGACGAACAGGTGCAAAGAAGAAGACGACTAGCGAAGTCGACTAAACTGAAGGGGGAAGTGAGAGGGGTTGAGGATGGGAATGGAGGGAGAGACTCACCGTGGGCTGATTACGTCGGAAGACGAACAGGAAGAAGAGGGGGAATTGGGCTGAAGGAGAAGAGGAAGAGAGAGAGGAGAAGAGAAAGAAGAGGGAAAGTCAGTCAGTGGACGGGAAGAGCGAGAAGGCGGGCAAACAAGCCAGTCACCAGCCCCTCGACCCGTATTTACCGGTTATTACCGACTGATTACTCGGCTTATTTAAGCCAGTTGCCTTAGTCAGGCGTCCGTCAGCCACGGTTTGCGCCACACCCTCCCTTTTTCTTCCATCGTCATTTCCCAAATCCAGGCGGACATTCTAGATGCATCAGTCTGCTTCTGCCGATTCTACTTACTTGTTCCTCTTCTTTCCAATACTGATAATCCAATAATTTGGACACCCGAATATAGCCTATTTCTCCCCTTAATGATAATCTAGATGACACACCCGGTACTCCCCGCCATCACCACCATCGACATCGTCATCATTCCCTCAAGTCAGCCCTGATATTCAAATATCCACCTGAACAGCCCCTCCCTCCAATTGTCAGCCACACCTTCAATTTCGGGTCCCTCCCAGACGGGTATCAATCGGACGGTGGACAAGACCGATAGGCTGAGATATTACCGGCATTCCGCTCACTTGCAACTGGTGGCCACCGTGTTTGCCCATTTGCAATGCTGGTTCTGCCCGTTGACTGGGTCGATATTACAAGAATATGGATCTCTTTTTTCTTTTTCTTTTTTTTTTTTTACCTTTTTCTTCCCTCCTCTTTCTTTACTGTAATAGAATTCGTAATCTATCACGCACGTCACAGCTACGCCTAATACAGCTAGATAGGCAGTTCTACTAAGGATACTACCTCAAGTGCATGCATGCCGGCAAGCATATGACTTCCTAAAAGATACTCCGACTTATATTAGGGTAGTATAACAATCCTGCACCTCTCTCATTTTGTATCAGATACTACGAGCTACTTACTACTATCAAAAGTATAGCATCCGTGCCACCCACACCCCACAGAATGAATCTTCCATCAGATCCATATTTCCCGGCAGTGGCAACGGCAAGTTGCAAAACTCCCTTTAGAGTAGTTAGTTCAAAGTTAACAAAGTAAGTAGCCTTCAAAATCTTCCCTAGCTACAATCAGTGCCCTCAATCCCTGTCCCCACATCCATCCATATGTAGATTACTAGATAGATCATATGGATACAAGTTGCCCCTCTTCGGCAAACCCCAACCCCCTTCTAATAGTACAAAGTGGAAACATAGAAACATAAAGCACATGTTTTAACTCTTCATACTTTCTATTTCCGAAGTTGCTTCAGACCTTGGAACTTGAAAGATCTGTGTGGTCATTCTTCCACCATCGATCCATTTGATTGGGAGGCGAAAACGAGAAACACACTTCTGTACCACTTTTATGACTAACTTTACCCAAGTAAGTAACTCAAACTGGTTGTAATATTACATACAGTCCGGGTGCCTTGCCACGTGGCGCAGCAATTGCTTACTCTTTCTCACGTGATGGAGAAGACCGTTTCTGGAAGGGTCGATTCATACCTACTATGTTTTCACTCTATTTTGTGCTAGATTCATAAATATATATATATATATACTAGTGTAGTTGTGTTTATGTTATTTCTTGTTTGGATATTGTGGTTGTATATGTACATGTATGTGATGGTGTGCTCATCAGGTAGGTAGATAGGTGGGACTATGAGTCAAGGTAGTAGTAGCATCTAGAGGGTTTATGTGTCTGTCATGTCTTTCTCCGTCTAGACGAATGCCTGAACACCGGTGATGGCGCGACCAAGGATCAGGGCTAGTTTATGGTTAGTCGCCAAGTATACAAGAAGCCAGATGTTGCTTCGGTGGTATAAGATGGTACTTACTATGAATGTCACTCTGTCCCTCATAAGTCTGCACCACGAACAGGTTGGCTACATGCCGGGCAATATGGTACTCGTCACTCGTGGCGTTTCCACCAAACACTTCCTGAAGACTGTCATGGGTGAATCAACCAAGTTAGCTGGCTATTCTGGCCAAAGATCATAGGGTAGAAAACAAAACCAAAGACAAGGGAGGGCATACATTCTCGAGTTAGCCAGGGCACGGTCACAGTTCTGTCTCTTGACCATCGAAATCATCTCCGGTGTGCACTTTCCGGCATCCTTGAGCCGGGCGACCTGCGTGGCAGCCAAAGTGCCGTACGCAGCATCCGTAGCCGCATCCGCCAGCTTCTTCTGAATGAGCTGGTATTTCGCCAGCGGGTTACCCTTGAACTGCTTGCGCTCAAGTGCATAGGTGCGCGCACGGCTCAGGCAATCTTCAAGCGCACCCATAGCTCCAAAGGCAATGCCCAGACGAGCGCTGTTAAGGCAGGTGAAGGGACCAGCAAGCCCTTGCACTTCAGGGAACATGTTCTCCGCAGGAACAGGGCAGTCATCCATTTGGATCATGCCGGTAATAGAGGCGCGCAGGGCGGTCTTGTTCTTGATGGCGGGCGTCTCCAGAGTACCCGGTGGGCATTGGCTGCGCTCGACGACGAATCCACGGATCTTGCCCGTGGTCTGCAGCTTAGCCCAGACGATCATGATGTCGGAGATCGGGGAGTTGGTGATCCAAGTCTTAGTGCCAGAGAGCAAGTAATAACCCTTCTTTGTAGGGTGCTCCCGGGCGACTGTCTCCATGGAGCCAGGGTCAGAGCCGTGATTGGGCTCAGTGAGACCAAAGCATCCAGCCAGTTTTCCCTTCGCCAGCTCCGGGAGGAGTCTGTCCTTCAGCTCCTGTGTACCGAAGTCATGGATGGCTGTCATAGCCAGAGAGCTCTGCACAGACATTCCTGAACGATATCCTGAGTCCACACGCTCGACTTCCTTCGTGATCAGGCCGGAGGCCACGGTGCTTGCGCCGGCGCAACCATACCCTTCAATGTTCGCGCCGAGGAGGCCGAGCTCGCCCATCTCGGTCAGGATCTGGCGATCATAGTTCTCGTTCCGGTAGGCATCTAGTATGCGCATAGTTATTAGCCACAATAACTCTAGCACATGAAAGGTTCCCTAACTGGGATATCCTTAGGGAGTGGCGGGCGTACCTAGAACGCGGGGTAGCAGTCGTTCCTGGCAGTATTGCCGAGCAGTGTCTTGGATAGCCAATTCCTCCTCTGTATACAGCTCGGATGCAACCAAAGGATCCTCCCAGTTGAAAGTCGTCGCATATCCACGGACCGAAGCATTGCGCGAAGTTGCGGGCGCTCGACACAGGCGGTGGAGGTGGCGCGAAGCCGTGCGGAAGCTGGAGGGGTTCATGATGTGAAATTGTAGGCACGGGCAAGGATAAAAAAATGAGTTCAAGATATCTATTATCAAAGTCAAGTCAATTGAGAGGCCAGTGTATCTTGGGGATGCGAGAGCCAACTAGGCTTGCGACAGTAAAGGGATAGATGGTTCGGAGGTTGTTGCGGGGAGACATTCATCCAGGCACAACTCTCGGTCTCGGTTTCCCCCAACCTCGGCAATCCGTCGGAAAGGCTTCCTTGGAGCATCAAACTTACACAAGGGCACTAATAGACAATATACGTAATTGATTGATTTCCCTCTGAGTTGTAAGACAGATTCAGGCAGTAGAGACGCTCCTTATATGCTTCAGGTTCATTGAACTTCCAAGACCCTCAAGCCGAGCCGCAGAGACTCTTCCGCGGCCGGGCTCGGGTGGGAGGCCGTTCCGTCGGCGCTGGCGCCCAATAACCTGCACTCCTCAGACTTGTATAGATAGAGCCCCTGCGGATATCTCGTTTGTCCGGCAATTAACTGTAGGAGTGCGCCTGTATATCCGAGTTTATATGTTCTGAGATCTACGAGAGAAAGCACTATATCATCTACAATACTGTCCTCTATCTAATATCTATCAACCTTACAACAATTGCCAGGCTAGCCTGCTAAGGCGAATACTGGAGTGGAGAACTACTTTTCTGGGATCAGCTGAATGGTTTGCTGTTTATATGTTACCACATTGATCATGGTAATCGGTTGGATTGATGTATTGGTCAGATGTAGACTAGGCGTGGTAGCCATAAAGCTCCCATACAAAGGTCAAGGCCTCTTCGTTCCTAGATTTGTACTTTGGAAGCTATATACTCCTTGATTAGGCGGCTTATATTTCCGCTTACATAGACCCCAGTGATAGCTGGCTCATAGCCCTGCATCAGCACCACGATAACGCTTCTGCTCCATACGTGTGCTCAAGCAGGCATCTGAGACTGAAGGAAATCGAACACCCCGGTCGGGAAGTAATCCTCATCAAAGCCCCAGAGATCGGCCATCATAGGGTCCACCGACCCCTCGGAGAGGCCCGTCTGGGCCTTTGCTTGCGTGGCATCCGAATCAAAGCTATTCCCTCTCTCGGCAGACAAGGGAGCGACCCCCAGCAACGGAGGAGGCGGGTTCAGTATCGTATCCCGTTCGCCAAGGGGCTGAGCCCCGGGGATAACAACCGGTTTAAACATCGGTAGAGTATCATGAGAATTCTGTGTCAGAGACTGGGAATTACCGAGATTCCTCTTCTCCCATTCCTCCAACCCTGTGAGCATCTTTCGCAAGCCACGGGCTATGTGGTGGCTGAGATGGTGCTCGCTTGCACGCTTACTGCACGAGACCATCATATTAACGATCCGCCCAACCAGCTCGCGCACGTACGCGACGTCGATATGTAGGCCGGCTGATGAAATAGAGTTCTGCTGGCCTTGGTTGTTGGGAATGCTGCTGGAGCAGCCCTTGGCCGCAATCTTCAGCAGGAAAACGGCGGCAAAAGTGATCATGCTGTGGAGGTACAGCGGAACGCCAACCAGAGCCCTCTGTATATCGGGTTCATCTAGGACCACCCGAAGCGTGTCGATGGCGGACTGTATGGCTATATTCGCGCGCTTCTTTCGCTCAGCAGACATGGGTCGTGTCGATATCGAAGAGTGATAGGTTCGCAAAGCAACCGAATTCAATTGTAACCGAGAAAAGTGATAATGCAGATTAACCGCTCTATAAGGATATGCACCGACGTATCGACTCCCAACTTCTCGTTTGAGCCACATTAGCGAAAACTGTGGCCAGTTCAGAGACTGAGGATTATAAAACGTACCCAAGCGCGGATACCAGGCTATCCGCCATTTGTCAAGGTCAGCGTC